AGGAGTGGACTACTAAGATTCATAATGTTCCATGAACTTCTTGAGCAAGTTTCGGTTATGAATAAAAATCAAGTATTTGTTGGTAGAAACGCTAGAAAGACTAAATAAACTTTTGATTAAAAGATGGATGTGGGTGTAAGTGTTCTTTAAGACAAACGTAGTAACAAAATGGTTAGACACTTTGTGTATCACAAAGATGTCTATAAAAATACCGTGCCCACAAAGTACTCACTGTTACTCATTCTTAATCTTACGGATTTAACTAAGTTGATAACAATCAAGTTGATTAGTATAAAGATTTATACCCAAATCTCTATTTGTGATATAAAAAACTCGACCAAAGTTTAAATCTTAGTAAATCATACAAAATTGGTATCTCAACGTGATTATTAATGACTCTCTCTAATCTTTGTGAATCACTTGAGACGTATTTTAAAATTGTCTATCTTTGGGTCTAAGATCTAATATTAAGACTTCAAAGTGATCGACTTATTTACGTTGAGTTTAAGTCCCGAGTCAAGTGACCAAGTGTTGCTTACTAGCCTTAAGTTTGACTTACATCCACACCCAAAAAGATGATTAGCTCATACTAGAAATGGGAACAAGATAAAGAAATACTTGAAAAATACTTGCATTCAAATAAAACTAACATCTATGGCCATAGAGGGCAGATAGTGGACATAAATTAAATCCATAGATTAAATGGTGAAAATTAAATTCTAGACTAAGATCTTCAAGCCTAAAAGTAAATGCTTGAATAGGATTGTTGCTTCTTGGTTGATGATCTCTAATGCTTCCTCCATACCTCTTTTTATAGGTGATAAGTGATGGTCTTTGTCTAATTTCTTTAATCTTTAATTACAAAAGGTGATCACTATTCAACCCATCTCTTCAAATCTTTTTGTCATCTCCATATCTTTAATAAATCTTCAAACTTCTGCTCTTAATGACCAGATAATAGAAATCACAGTTTTGTCCAAAAGTAGCTCGAAAGTGCCCTCAGTTGAGCAGATTATGCCCACTACCTAACAATTACGTTTTAGAAAGAAAAAAAAATCAATCATTTGCATTTCATCACCTATTACGCTTCTTATTGTAACTTCTTTTCTCACATGATCTTTCACCTATATATAGATTAAAATTATATTTTTTTTAATATATGTATATAATATATTATGATTTTCAACCATTTATTGTTGAACCGGAGATCAACCAAGGATAGGCCTAACAAAAATCGGTGATTCCCATACTCGCCAGGGACCGGGGCCAAGATAGTGAAACCGTCTGAGGTCGAGGCCGGGGATTGCATTCCGCAGCCCATCCCCATGTTGTTGCCACACCTGTCTAGAAAATGATAATATAGGTTTTTAAAGAATCTTCAAGCTTTTATTGTTATTGTTCACAGAATGAAAAGAAATATACCTAATTGATTTATATTTAATATTAATATTAATATTATAATAATGGTAATATATTTCAAAAATTAAGAGCAAAAATTCAAGTAAAGAATGGTTTACTCCAAGCGGCACGTCGGCACGTGAAACGTGTGTTTCTCATTTTTCTTGTCTTTTTTTTCTCTTTTCTCGCATCACACTCTTAACAATAAACATATAATTTTCAGTACCTTCAACAATATTTCTAAAATAGAAAAACTTAATTCTTTTACCCAATAGTTTTGCTATTTTATTTTTAAATTAAAGAATTATAGAAAAAACGTTAAGGGGCCATTTACCAAACACTTGTCTGGATAAATGTTTATTAAGTCATGTTATCTTATCGGATGAATATGATAAGGATCAAGAATCGTACCCGGTAAGAATGAGACAAGGACCAAGAGTCTTACTCGACGACTCTTACCACGGTAAACGCTTACCGGGTAAATTATTGCATACGATGTCGTTTTAGTGGACAAAAATCTTACCTGGTAAGTAAATGATAGAGTTAAATTTTACCGATAAGCACTTACCGGGTAAATGTTTGGTAATATAACTTTAAAAAAAAACTTAATAGTGAGAAAAAGAAATTATTATTTTATTCAATTCCATCGATAAGATGGAATTATTATTATTATTATAAAAAAATTAAATAAATTATGATTTATATGTTACAACATTTTAATTATTTTTAAAGATGGTTAAGGGATTACAAGTGTAGGTATGTAATTTATAAAGTTTGGGTTCGTCTCCTTACCTAACTTTGTAAAACCATTATGGAGTATTTTGATATTTTTATTAAACCCATGTTTTTACTTTTTAGTCTCCCATCCCAACCCCAACTAAACATAACCTATAAAACATATCTAAGTTTTCAAAACAACATCCATTTTGTTGAAACATCAAAACCACCATCTATACATACAACAACAAAATTATGTATAATCACTAAAATCGAAACTTATAATTTTTTATATCAAAGCTATAAAACTTTATATTTTGGAAACAAAAAACCCCTTATCGCCTCAATATAGATCTAGAGTTAGAGATGTTGTCTTGGACCTTAAGTCATGTAGGTAATATTGAATCATAATTCTTACCCCAATATATAGTTTGTCTTTAAATCCTGTATCTTTGCATCCGAGTAACAAAAAAATATCATAAAAATCCAAAAGGTGGAGGCTAAATCTTCATAAACCAAAAAAGGAAATGACCAACTTTAAAAAACCAGACCAAAAGGCCTTTGGCCTAACGGTATCGTAGCTCTTCGCTTCTTAGAAGGTCAAGGGTTCAAACCTCACCAAAGGTGAGAAGAGTATGTGAGTTTATTTGTTGCATTTGCCGTATATAAATATTATATACTTTAAAAAAGAAAAAACTTTAAAAAACCAGGACAGGGATTTTGTGAGACGAATACGATGAAGTTGCGCATGACAAACATGGTATTTTATATGCATGCATATATATTATACTAAACATAATAAAATGATTTAGAGTGGATTGCATATCTGGTTCATTGTCCAAATAACTCTTGTTTAAATTTAATATTATTTTAACATATTCCATGAATATATAATTTGTTTTATTAAATGGGTGAAATATGGTATGTTTATTTTGACGATGGTGCTTTTAAAAAGAAAAAGAAAAATAAATATAAAAAATCATTGTGTTTATTAAAATAAAAGGTATAAAAAACATGTTGCAATAAATAATGTTATTTTGGTTAAATGATTTAATTTATTTAAACGTGTTAAGTAATTTATAAAGAGGGGGTGACGGTGTTGTGTTGGTCGTAGGAGAATATGACAGGCTCAGGTGAGAAGGATTCCGTTACCAAAGCTGTCATTTTATCTTCCCCCGATAAAAATAAAAATAAAAATAAAAATAAAAAATAAAAATAAAAAATAAAAATAAATACAAGAAAAAGACACACAGGATTCACGTTCTTATCACGTGCCTTCTCATAGATGCATGACACGTGTGTCAAGCCTCCCACGTGTCACCGTCTTTAACAAAAACGCGTGATTTTTATTTTCAATACGCATTCCCTTTTTAATTTCTTCACGTGAATTTCCCCTCACCGTGGCTTGGCTTGGCTTGCATGCTTTTTATCCCATGATAATAATAAATTCTCAGCACTCACTCACTCACTCACTCATTCTATAAAATAATATCACGTAAATCAAATACTATGTTATAATCATTGTCATGTACTTCAACGTATTTCTCACCTTTTGCTTATCACTTCAAAATGTTGTTACAATTTAAAAAAATTTAGATTCGTAAATAAAGATGTAAACTGTCTTAATTTTTATGGATGAAATATTTTTTAGATAATATATTTTAATGTATTAATTAGTTTTATAAAATCTGAAGAGATATAAAAAACCGTATCTGTATGTATGAAATACTTATTTATAAAAATTAAAATATATAAAATAATATATTAGTAAATGTTTAATGAGTTACTTATAATATTTTTATTTGTAATGCATGCATACTCTATAATATATTAACTTAAGTATATCAAACATTAAATTAATATAAAAAAATCTTTTAAAATCTGGAAATTTATGAAGGTTGCATCATGGCTAACACCATAATGTGTCATTGCATGAGGCACATCTATCATCATTACTTTAAGACCCATTGTATTTGTGTAAGAGGTGATTTTGTAACAAATTGAGAGACAACAATGTTGTGTTAACTGTTTCTTATAGTTTTAACTTTAAATTTTATAACATTATTATATTTTATATTTTTAAATTCATCACATTATTTTTATTCACGAGTCATATTAGCAAGCATGATCAAGTTAATTTAAATTAAAAAAATAATAATAATAATAATAACAAAATATATTGTAAGAAAGGAGAAGAAGGATCGATAATTAGTTAATTAATTATCGAGGAATGGCTATTTTCTCCTCTCAAAAATACATTCACTAACTAAAATCAAATAAGAAAACAGACCTTCAATTTCTGCCGACTCCTTTCTTTCATTTTCTTTTTTAAAACACCATAAGATATCAAAATTCAACGCAGCTCCATTCCATTCACATGTACATATATTTCTTGTAATCTTCCATTAAAAAACAACCCACAATTTAATATTCTATTTCTTCATGGACATTATAATTCTAGCTTCTATTCTTTTAATTAAAAAATGAATTATATATAAATCTTGTTTCAATACTTTAATTGTATGAGAATAAAAATTAACATAACAAGTATAACAAATAATCTGATATCCCTCTATAAATTATACTTATTATGAGAATTGATCCGATACATTTCGATATTAATGTTGATCTTCGATCCAACATTTATTTATTAAGTAATTTTTTTTTTACAAATGAAAATATGAAATTTACTTTTAAATATATATAACAATTTTTTTAATTAATAAATTTAACCTTCAAGTTCAAACCACGCGTTGTTTTGGATGACTTGAGTCAATGGGGTAATGGATCTGGGCTTTTAAACCAAACCATGGTTAACTGTTTTAACCCACTTAACTGCGTGCCACGGGTTTATACACGCGCACTTTGGATTTAGGAACGGAAAACCAGAACCCAACCTCTCGCTCTCTCTCTCTCACCCAACAATTTGCTACCAAGTGACGAAGTTGTTTATTATCTGAAAAACAAGGTTTGTGTTTCAATTCTTCTTCATATATCATATGCTTATTGTTGTTATTATTATTATACGATTCAATATCTTCTGAACTAAATCTTACCTTGTTCATGTCATGTCTTTTCTTTGTTATTCATCAAGGAATTCAGATGCAGAGCTTTTGAGATCTGAAATTGGGAGGTACGTCAAGTGTCTGGATATCTGATTCATTTCACTATAGCTGCTGCTGCTGATTCTTGGATTTTTCTCTTGCTATATGCCAAGTGTGTTGTATTCCTTCTGAATTTGGTGCCGCTGTTTGTTTTTTTGGGGGTTTTTTTTGGCTTACGTCAAAGTTGAGGTGAATATGGGTGATGACAATTGGAATGATGAAGAGAAAGCAATTGTTGCTTCTGTTTTAGGAACCAGAGCATTTGATTACTTAATTTCCAGCTCCCTTGGTAATGAATGCTCATTGACGTCATTAGAAAACCATGATAATTTGCAAAGCAAGCTCTCAGATCTCGTAGATAATCCTAATTCGGATAGTTTTAGTTGGAATTATGCCATTTTTTGGCAAATTTCCCGTTCCAAGTCGGGGGATTTGGTTCTGGTTTGGGGTGACGGCTCTTGTAGGGAGCCTAGAGAAGGAGAAGAGTTTGAAATTGCTCGAATTTTGAGCATTCGTTTAGAGGATGAGAACCAGCAGAGGATGAGGAAAAGAGTTCTCCAGAAGCTGCATGTTCTGTTTGGTGGTTTAGATGAGGACAACTATGCTTTTGGATTGGATAGGGTTACTGATACTGAGATGTTCTTTCTTATTTCCATGTATTTCTCCTTCCCACAAGGGGAAGGAGGTCCCGGCAAGTGTTTTTTGTCTGGGAAGCACTTATGGTACTCTGATGCCTTGAAATCCACCTACGATTACTGTTTCCGGTCAAATCTTTCAAAATCTGCTGGCATTCAGACTGTTGTCTTAGTTCCAACTGATGTTGGGGTGGTTGAGCTTGGATCGATTCGTTCCATACCTGAAAGCATGGAGCTTTTACATTCTATCAGATCATCCTTTTCTTCAAAGCCAAGGGATGCCCTCGTGATGGGGAGCGACAGAGGTGTTACCGCCCAATTAACAAGCTCACTGGTTGGGGAGAAGAAGAAGGAAGATGCCCGTGGTGCTCATTTTTTGGATTTGGGTCTTGTTGATCACCCTGTTAAAGCATCAAAGAATTTGAGGCCGGATATGAGTTTGAGTTTGCGCCAGCCTCAATATAGAGAAAAACTTGCAGTTAGGAAGGCGGAGGATCAGCGGCCTCCCTGGGAAGGATTCCCAGTTGGGAATCCGCGGCTCCTAATTTCAAATTCCAGAAACAGGATAACGGGTTCGAATTGGGCACAATTAAGCAGTCCCCAGGAGGAATTTCAACTAAACAGCTTTAGGTCCCAAAAGCCATCAACAGAAATGCAAATTGATTTCACAGGTGCAGTGTCTCGACCTTCGGTACTTTCTCGGCCGGTGAGTGGTGATTCTGAGATCTCGGATGTGGAAGCTTCGGGCAGGGATGAAAGAGCTGCAGTAACTGCTGTAGCAGATGATAAAAGGCCTCGTAAAAGGGGGCGAAAGCCTGCTAATGGAAGAGAAGAACCCCTGAATCATGTAGAAGCAGAGAGGCAGAGGAGGGAGAAGCTGAACCAGAGGTTCTATGCTTTACGAGCTGTGGTGCCTAATATTTCAAAGATGGACAAAGCTTCACTGTTAGGAGATGCAATCACTTACATAACGGACCTTCAGAAGAAGCTGAAAGAGATGGAATCGGGGAGAGAGAGGGGGGGAAGCAGTTGCATGGAGAAGAGTGAGTCAGGTTTAGAGAAAATAGAGATAGAATCAGTTGAAGATGAAGTAACAGTGAGGGTAAGCTGTCCTTTAGATAGACACCCAGTATGTAAGGTGATTCAAGCATTGAAAGAAGGTGAGATGAGGGTGATAGACTCGAAGATGGCTGCAGGAAATGATAAGGTGTTTCACATATTTGTGATAAAGTCTCAAGGAGCAGAACAACAGGTGACGAAGGAGAAGTTGATGGCTGTATTTTCAAAGGAATCGAACTCTTGTTTACATCCATTGGCATAGGAAAGGGGAAGGTACAAATAGAAAGTTTTGTATGAGATTAGTGGGTTCTTTGATTTACTTATGTATATTTATTTATTGAAGGTACAATGTAGGGTGATTGTGTTGGTTACTTTTGATATACTACATGTATATGTGAAGCTTAAATTTAGAGCAGGAAAGTTGTTTGTTTGAAAATGAAGTTGAGGTAAGTTTGTAGTTGACATTGAAATTAGAAGGTTGAGAGGTATTTGATTTAGGTATAAGTGAAGATGTTAACCACAAGAGTTTTGAGACTCAAATACTGATTCCCTTTTTGGCTTTGGATTCCCAATTTTGGCCTTTGGAATTTGTGATTGCAATTACAACAAGAACATGAAATGTCCCCGTGAAACAATCACACAAGTGGACATATATATATATATATATATATATATATATATATTATAGATGATGCATATTTTTATTTAATTAAAAACGTTTTGGTTTTAAAATCAAATCTGAAAGCCAAGTCAAATTAGAAATGATTTTCTTACCTTTACCTACTAGTAAAATTATGTTTTTCATATAGATTTTTTCTTTTTAAAATAATAAGAATCTTTTATTTATTTATTTATTACCATATTTGATTGACATATAACAAAATTATATTACAATAAAAATAACCAGAAGATGGTTTGTCTTGTGGTCAAAACCCTGGATGACTTTGACTTCAATTTTATTGTATGTGGTCAAAGATTCTAAATACTTAATTTTGTTTACTTGCCAACTACACTCTGCAATGCATGCTTCAACCTTAAATTTCAAACAAATCGATTTCCACTTTCACCGCTACAAACTGTATATTAATGAGTTTTTGCTTTATATACATGAGAGATGCTTAACATAGGATAATATATTTAGTTCTATCTCGTAACTAAACACATACAAAAAAATTGTAAAAAGAATTGAGATGATTCTTAAGTTTTTCATCATCATTCAATATTTATATTCACGTTCTCATTTATACATATTTATAAGAGAGATTGATGGTTATAGGCCGTTAATGGATAAGGTCAAAAGATAGTTACAACCGAATCTCAAGTTCTGCAAACTGCATCTTCAAAGATAACCGAAAGCTGTCACGATAAGTTGAAAAATACGAGTTGAAGGCTACATGCTGAAGACTCTCAGCAACAGCTGAAGCTATTCAGTGACAGCCTTATACAAACCTTTAGTGATGATTCACGAAAGCTGAAAAATACTCAAATTTCTAAGTCTATTAGAACTTAAACCCCCGTTTTATAAGGTGATAGGTCAACATTTGTAAGTGTGTACTCAACACCTACTAACTTACGTATATTTGTTTGATCACCTTAATCGATTTCAAATAAATCACAATTACACCAAAATGTTTGATGAAACTAAAATCACCAACACATAGTCCAAGTTAAGTTTCAGTAATATATATATATATATATATATATATATATATGTGTGTGTGTGTGTGTGTGTGTGTGTGAGAGAGAACTGAGAACTCCCGTTGCTTTCCAAAAAAAATGTGTCAACTCCCATATTTAGTTTTGAAAAGGAGCACTTGAATTGAGAAGATATAAAGATAAAATGGTCCAAGTGTAATTGATGTAAGATTCCAACAAGTCTTGAACAAAGGCTAGAGAGACATATATGTGAAAAAGGGGCTAGATAGTACAAATTTTACCTGGAATATTGAGTCCCAAAGGTATTGAATCTATAGAGTGATAGACATTAATATCATCATCTACAATGGAACATGACATGGAGGTGTTGAGTGATGAAAGGGGTACAAAGCTCATTCAATTTCATGTCCCAAGATATATATATTATTCGTTACATTGGTAGCAAAGAATGACAGGTTATCTTAACACAAATGAATGAATAAATAAATAAATAATCTCCCGTTTTGTTGATTACTCGAAAACCATAAATGGAACGATATTGATTAATTGGTGAAAGTTAAATGGAAAAGAAATTGGGCGATGCATCAAGGAAACCAGTGACAGTTGGATTGGAACTTGGAAGATGATTGTTAGAAAAAAGGTTTAATTGGGCTGGGCTTCTTCATCCAACCCAACAGCATTTTGGCCCAATACAAAATAAAAAAGATTTAATAAAAAGACCCGCCACACCACACCACACCACACCACCCCACTCCACCAGTCAATACAAAAATATAGTCATCAGCCTTCAGGAGGAAGTTTGAGGGGAAGTTTTGGAGGGAAATCGCTGTAATGGACAATCGAGACGCAGTGGCAGTGGCAGATGCGACGACCGGACCATTTGATGTCAATTTCTTCACCACTCTCTCTTCCTTCCCTATTCTCTACTTCTATTCTTAGCATCACTTGTTCTATTTCATCATTGCCTTTTAACTAGGGTTTCATTCATCCTGTTTTACTCTATTTTCTTATTTGTCCAATCTTGTTTGAATCATTCTTTTTTGTTCATTTGATTGTTGAAAAACTGATTTTAATTGCTTCTCGATGACCTTAACAAAACTATGTTGTATGATCCAATTTAAATTAATGCTTATCTCAATTACTATACTACCTAAGAGCTAGTTTAGAACCAGTTGCTAATTAAGAATTTAATTGAATGCCTTCTTTTGATCATTGAATGTCTAGAAGAAAGGCGTCATTATAGCTTGTGAATGACCACAGCCAATCTGGAATTTGATTTTAGCTATTGCGCCTTAACTATCACCATTTCACTTGAATCAATATACCCAATGTTCGATTTCTTTATAAATTGAGATCTTAATTCGTCTTACTTTAATCTGTTTTTGTTTTGATAGTTAATTCACTGTATCATTTATTTTAAGTACAATTAACCCCCCCCCTCTTCTTGTATCATGTGTTTCGTATCTTTGAAATTTGAAAACATACAAGTTAGAAACACGATGCGTGCACATTAGTCTCCATAAGACCAAATACCTGTGCTGCAAATTCAGCAAGTAGTGAAGTGACGAGGGAATAGAAGTCACCAATGGAGAACAAAGGTAACTCCAAATGACAATTTCAAGAATATATGCTCCATGATTCCAAAGAAGGGAGAGGTCGAGGATGACGTTAAACATCGCATAAAGACAAGATGATTAAAATGGAGGGTTGTGACATCCCGTTAAAATTGAAAGGAAAATTCTGTAAGGTAATTATCAGATCAGCTATGTTGTATGGGTTTCAGTATTGGGCGATAAAATCAGGATAGCTGAGATTGACCTATGATTGGACCTTGTTGGACAGGTTATTTTCCGGATAGAGTTGAGAGTTGTGCCGTGAGAGAGGAAAGATTGTGATGGTTTGGACATGTTCGTTGAAAATAGTTAACCTGCCGGTGAGGAGGGTTGAGTGCGTTAAAATCGATGGGTTGAGGGGAGTAGTAGGCCAAAAAGGACGTGGGAGGAGCCATTGAGTCTGGACTTGCAGCCTTGAACATCTATGAGGGCATGACAGGAGCTCTTGGAAACGCATGACTTGGGTAATAGATTATGTGTATGGACTTGTACACTGCTGTGGATGGGTGTGAGGGTGAAGGTGAGGGTGAGATGGGGAGGGTAGAGAGCCAACAACTAGGTTAGCAGAGCCCTAGGTTTGGTTGTCGGAANGGGGGGGGGGGGGTCTGTGACGACAGTCAGGAGTGCACTACAGGTTAACCAAGAGTGGGCCTTACATGTCCTATGGTTCGACGGTTCTTAGTTTTACTATGTTGAATTTTGTGTTGTTTTAACCTTTTTTATCGTCCACTATATTTACTTGTTCTACTGTTACAAAACTCCTCTTACTTTCCCAAAAATGTGCTTCATCAAAGTTTTCTCTTTTTTGACTAGCTGTCTGGGATGCTCAGGACTTGTTCAAAAAAAATTCCAAAATTTCTTCTCAAGGAATTCTACCTTCCAAACCTTATTTCCTAGTAGGATATACCAGGTACGTTTGGTATAGTTTGATTTGATTTGGTTTACATTTGATATTTAGTCGAATGAATTTCATCGACTGTCGCAATGAATGGTAGTAACCAAATAATGCTTCTTTGATAGCCTAAGTGACCGCCATGTATTATGTTTCAGTAGCAGATAATGGCATTACATGTTGTAAAGTAGCTTTCCAGCTACACCTCCAATACAAAAAAAAAAATATCCACCAAGCGCTGAATGCTTTTCAAGATGAGCAGCCCACAAAAGCACCAGAGTCTTGTTGGTCGTACCAAATTCCAAACACAACTTCCCTGTAAGTATATGGGAATGCCTTTTACCCTGCCTGGATGAATAGATTTAAAATAGTGTAGGTGTTTGTTAAAATTCCATAGAATGGAGTATAAACTAACAGGGAAGGGGAACCCAAACAAGCTTCGTATTGGCTATATCAAGAAGGTTGTTTAACACTAGAAGCATCCATGATCCTGCTAACCTTGTCAATAAGGTAGAAATTAGAATGAAGTTTGTATATTATATATATATATACACACACACACACACACAGATGAAGGATCATACGAGAAGTTAAACATTTTGCGAGAAGGCAGAAAGTTTCAATATCATATATTATTACACTTCTTTTGCAATTGGGTAAGTAGGTAATGTGGAGCCCGGTGTATTCTAAGCTAAAGGTTCTTTAATATATAGGTTTATATAAATTACACAAATGGTATATACACATATATAATTGATGTGAATGGGTTGGGTTCCGGTAAGAAGGAAAGTTATGGTGTGAAGCATAAGAAAAGAATCTCTACCTTTAGATCAATCATAATTAAATATCAACACTAATGAGGTACACCAAGATACACCGGATCAGTTCTCTTTTAAAGCTCAATCCATGGGCGGGCATAAGATTAAAAGTGATCAAGGTTTCGGATGTCTTCTTACGCTTCTTACCATAACTCTCCTTCTCACATGATCTTTTGCTTGATGTGAATTGGGAATGCATTGTTGCTGTTGTGATCACCCACTTTTTTTGTTCAAAGTTACTCCACCTAGGGGTGAGCAAAGGTGGGGTACCCGGTCCCGGAACCAGCAGTTCTTGGAATGAAGGAATTGGAACCAGTTACAGCGATTCCTTTATATTTAGGAACCGGTTCCGATATCAGGTATCCAATGTCTAGTTTTATAGAAATAATGAGTCTATTTCAAAGTACCGGTGTAAATAAATAAATACTATAAATGGTGAAAACTAATATGATAAAAACTAATAATTACAAGCGATTGGGATATGGGAGAACATAGGTTGATTGTGGAGGCGATTGTGGAACAGCAAGAGACTAGGCAGAGAGAATTGATTCAACTCTTAAGAAGCGGCAACAAGTGTTAGCTCAAAAGGTAAATTAATAATTTCAGTTTTAGCGGCGACAAGTGGTTATGGAAGCTGCAGTTCTAGAGCGGTTCCGGGTGTTGTTCATCCCTAACTCCACCCCCTTTCATTGAAGAATCCTCCAACAAAATCCTGAAACATTTGTGTGTTGTTTGTTGATTAATTTGTAGTGTAAGGAAAGCTAGAAAGATGTTTGGAAATGGGAATGGGAATGAGAATGGGAAATAATTATTGCTTGGTAAGTATACTACATTTTGTTTGCTTATTTATGGTACTTGGCACATGCATTGAATGTATATTTTGAATTCAATGGTACAAAGAAAGGGTCATATTATGAATAATATGACTTAACAAAATAATTAATTGGGTGTTAGTTTTTTGTGGTTAGTTGTTTTAAGAAGAAAAGCGAGTATTAGTTGCTTTTGATGATGATTAAGCTTAAGCATGAGGTATTGGTGGGGTGAGGTTTCCTTTTACCAATTACTATGTTGCTTTTTCCAGTCCTATTTTTGTTTTTATCATCTTTTAAATGGAAATGAAAAGTAAACATGTGAGATAAGTTAGATAGTGGTGTTGTTAAGTGACCATCATTCTTACTCATATTCACCCAACCCTTTTGCTTGCTTTTATGCTGCTCCCATGACTTTTAATCAAATGGATGTTTTAGATTTACCATTCTTTTTTGCTAATAGGTCATGTTTCATATCATATCATATCATGTGTGATTAAGTACCTCCTCTATATTTATCAAATCAACCTTTTTTTCTATTAACTTTCTTGTAACATATATCATCAAGATTAAAATATTACATATATATATATATATATATATATATGGAGAGAGAGAGAGAGAGAGAGAAAAAAGAAAAAAAAAAGAGGTGTTGGTAGTAAATATTGTGGTTGGGCTGGTGCTTGTACAGACTAGACATAGACATGAGGTGTGCAATAGTAGGTTGTACGTTGTGCTTGGTATGGAGGCGATGAGCCGGTGGGGGTGGTTAAAATTGAGGTCCAATTAAATTTTCCAAACACATGAACAACATGAATGATTTCCCTTCGTTCGGCTAACAATTAGGTAACATAACCCATTCTATCCAATTTTACCTTCATCATAAATACCATTTTTACATCTTTAATCTTAGGTCGACATACCTTCTCTTAACCACACCCTCATATAATTAGTATTTTAACGCCATGAATTTGTTACATGACTTGCTGTTAATTTACTATCATTTTAACTTCGATCATTATGTCTAACAAGTGAAAAGACGGTACATTTTTATTTGAAAAGGAAAACATAAAGTGAGTAGAAAATATGGTTGGTATCCCTCCACTTAATGTAAAAATGGATTTTACAAACCACCAAAAGTTATGATGCACCCACTTGTCCTTTAATTAATTAAATATCACTATTTGTTTGACTTTTATCCAACACCAAAGATATGTGTGAGAAATCCATTATTTTGTAGATATTACTATGCCCCTTTATGGAAAAAGGAAAAGGAAAAGGAAAAAAAAAAAAGGAAATGGTATTATTGTAACACATGAATTAGCTTAATGAAAACTATGGGTTTTATTTCAATTTAGAATTCAAGACGTTGCATTATTATACTTCAAACTTTTATCATCTGCATTATTTTTCTTCTGTGTGTGGTGACAAAACAATAACGCCGGAAAAAGCCCACGTTCACATACTGACACACCGCACTCCTCCATTATTTATACTCCCAACACCTTTCTCTCCCACCTCTCATTTCCAACAATGGTCGCCCCACCCTCCTCCTCCTCCTCCTCCTCCTCCTTCTTCTTCCTCCTCCTCCTCCTCCTCCTCCTCTCCTCCGCCACCTCTCTCCAATTCCAAACCCTCATCCCTCACTCTCTCCCAAATCCCACCAGATTTTCACCCGATTCTCAGACCCTAACCTCTTCAACTTTCCAAGATCAAGATCAAAATGAAAATGCCATCTCTTTAGATTTGCACCATCTAGACACCCTCTCCCTCTCTTTCAATGCCACCCCGGAGACCCTCTTCCACCACCGTCTCCGCCGTGACTCCATCCGAGTCAAAACTCTCACTTCCCTTGCCAACTCCACCGCAACAGGCCGGAGGACCAAGGCGGATTTCAGCAGTTCTGTCATCTCCGGCCTTGCACAGGGTTCCGGTGAGTACTTCACCCGCATCGGTATAGGAACTCCTCCCAGATATGCCTACATGGTGCTCGATACGGGAAGCGACGTCGTTTGGATCCAGTGCTCTCCCTGCCGGAGATGTTACACACAATCCGATCCCATTTTTGACCCCACCAAATCAAAAACCTTCGGTGGAGTCGCCTGTGGAACCCCTCTCTGTAATCGTCTCGATTCCCCAGGATGCAACAAGCGCAAGAAATGTATGTACCAGGTCTCCTACGGCGACGGTTCTTTCACCGTCGGCGAGTTCTCCACCGAAACGCTTACGTTTCGGAAGACGAAAGTGAATAACGTAGCTTTTGGGTGCGGCCATGACAACGAAGGCTTATTCGTTGGAGCAGCCGGGTTATTGGGTCTGGGTCGGGGCAAGTTATCTTTCCCTAACCAAGCGGGTCGTCAGTTCGGGTCCAAGTTCTCTTATTGTCTGGTGGATCGTTCCATGTCGGCTAAACCATCGTCTTTAGTGTTCGGCAACGCCGCCGTGTCACGGGTGGCCCGTTTTACTCCTTTACTCAGTAACCCGAAACTGGATACGTTTTACTACGTGGGACTGATGGGAGTCTCGGTGGGAGGCGTTCGAGTCCCTGGAATATCGAGCTCCCTGTTTGAGCTGGACAACGCGGGCAACGGGGGTGTGATCATCGACTCAGGGACGTCGGTGACCCGGTTGACCCAACCGGCGTATGTAGCGCTCCGAAACGCGTTCTTGTCGGGAGCATCTCACTTGAAGAGAGGACCGAATTTTTCGCTTTTCGATGCGTGTTTTGATCTGTCGGGGAAGACGGAGGTGAAGGTACCGACGGTGGTGATGCATTTCAGAGGTGCGGATGTATCTTTGCCGGCGTCGAATTACCTAATTCCGGTGGACAGCGGGGGGAGCTTTTGCTTTGCGTTTGCGGGAACGGCGAGTGGGCTGTCAATCATCGGGAACATCCAGCAACAAGGATTTCGGGTGGTGTACGATTTAGCGGGTTCTCGGGTGGGTTTTGCGGCCCGGGGGTGTGCTTAATTAGTATGAGCAGGAATTAGTGTAGTTGTTATTGGTTTTTAATGAAAAGAAAAAGGAAGACGCATTTGGTTGCGTTGTATGTTATATGTTATGTTTTATTGTGTCTTATTATTATTTATGGAGAAAAGAAAGAAAGAGAAATTAAAAGAATTGGTAAGACTGTTTGTTTGTTTGTTTGTTTGTTTGTATAAAGAATAGAATGATAATATGATATGTGATATGGGGATGGGGGGGTAATTTGGATGCAAATAAAGATTAGAAATTGATTGAAGAGAAAAAGTGAAAAGGAAAAGGAAAAGGCGCAACAGGCGGAGATCCCATTCCATCCCATGTGATGTGAATAAACGACCAAAGTTCCATGTGATGACAGACACAATTATTATTATTCTCCACCTTATTTATTTAATTCCTAACTCTCTTTTTTATTTTTGTTCTAAGATTAATTAATTAAAATGGCATATGATATATATATTATGATTATAATCTAAATCCCTTGATCATTTGGAGTTGAAAATGTAGGTTAATTAGTTTGTGTTCAAATAATAAATGGTGATTGGTGTGGGCTTGGGCTTGGGCCTTTGATGGATAATGCAACCCAATTACATACTTGAAATTAAACACATTCCACCGGATGGACAGTGATGTATGTATGGACATTGATGCTGTTTGTACAAAAGAATGTAACATGCTCTTGAGTCATGCATTTTTGTTTTAAAATAGAGGTGGATATCAACATTGCACATTCTCAATTACTAATTTCAGTAAAAAAGTGACTATGAATCACATATTCTTCAAAGTCTAAATAATGTTCATTTCACACATTGTAATTGTATGGGAGATATGTTGGATTTACAACAAGACAAACAAAGGCTTCATAGTTAAGCTATAATACAAGCATCAATCAACTACACTTGTATAAGCTATATATATACCTTTTCTTTAAGCTTTCAAGCCCTCTTTTCTACAATATATAAACCTTCAATTCATCCAACTTGTTAAATTAATGTCATGATGACCATAAATGTGGTAAGCTGCCTATAGTTTACTTTACAGGCTCTAACTATTTATATATCTATACAAACTCCATGGAATTTAATTAATTACAAGCTATGAATATACATAATTGTAGTTAACCAAGTAGGGCAAACTAATATAATTACTAGCATAGATATCAATCGTATAACGATGAATATATACGATGCATGGTTACATAATTAGATCACACACACACACACACACACATATATATATATATATATATGATATTTATGGAAATGGTAAAAGTTCATTTATTATGATCAACGTTTTATATTAGGAAAAATCGAAATATTCATAAAAACATATATTCATTACACTAGATGAACAGTTGAAGTTCTTTTGTATTTAAAAATATCTCTCTCTAAGCATAATTAGTTTCATAGATAGATTATTAGAACTAATATGTGTGTCTTGATTTCTCGATGTTGATTCCAGTTGCATCTAATGAAAAAAGCAAATAAAAAATAAAAATTGATGATTGATGCTTAGTTCTAAAACACACCACATATAAAATAATTTTGAATTAAACACATCAAAAATAATATTTGGAAATTTCATATCAAAAAGTTCTGAATATGGAAACAATTTTCGAATTGTTAGATTAATTTGATTAAGATACTAATGTGATTGCTAGATCTTTTGTTGTTCTTGTATTTACTATAAATATTACTTCAAATATTCTAAAACATACATCGTACTTTTGGATTGCTTATTAATAATTGGTAAATTTAATTTTTGTTGTAGGATAAGTAAGTTATTATCTAAATGATATGACGATAAAGATAAAGATAAACATATTAGAGATAAATTAGAACAGATATATATGATACATAAAAAAGAAGAGAAGAGTAAGACATAACCATTTATCATCAATACATAGACATCTCATGAGGTTGTCTTTGAGCATAATTATGTCTATGAATCACTACTGGAGGACACTCCGAAGTTAACATTGATTTCAGAAATCAAAGAAATATCAAAAAATTATTGTGGAAAAAAATTATCCTTTCTATATAACTGCTCAAAAATTACACATAGCTAGCTTGACGGAACACAATGAATTACGATAGTGCATAAGAGTTGATGGACTGATCATACATACTCATTGATGATATATTCACATATAATGTTGCTCATGAGATGATCGAGCACGATGACATCGAACCATGCTCAGTTGGAGAATGTCAACAAAGAGCAAAATAGCATAAATGAAAAGAAGCAATCAGGGAGAATTATATTATTTGACAAATGAACCGGTATTTGGTCAGGTAATGCTAACCTACCAATTGTATAGCCTATATGACATAGATATATCATTTGTCAAAAAGCGTAATGAGAATAATTAAGTCATATTGTATAAGGCCCCCCTTTGGCGCAATGTTTCTCACAACGCTCTGGATTGACCACAAGAAGACTTGCTCTCCCGCGATGAACGTTACAACGTTATGTTAATTAATTAGCCTTATAGTTTTTCAATGACTGGAAATGCAGCTAATGGATGTGGTTACGACATATCTCTACAGGGATCAAGATTAAGAGACATATAAAAGCGTTTGATGGCATTACACTACCCAAATCAAGTAACTCTAAACCAAAAAGTACGTTTGAAATAAAATTAAAATGCTCGCTTTATAGATTAAATAAATCTAGGCGGATATGGTACACCCGCCTAAGTGAATATTTGACTGGGAAGGGATATAAGAAAGTAAAAATGTGCCCATGTGTAATTATTAAAAGAGTTCAAGATTTTCAATTGTAGTTCTATATGTCGATGTTATGAACATAATCCGCACTCTTGAAGAAAATAAGAGAAACCATAATCTACTTGAAATCTGAATTTGAGATGAAAAATCTTGGGAAAACTTGGTTTTGCCTAGCTATTGGAGCTCGAACACTAAGTTCGTGTAATGTTAATCCACCCATCCGTATACGTCCAAAAAATGATCAGACGATTGAATATGGACAAAGTGCATCTGGCTAGCACTCATATGATTGGTCAAAATGTTGGATATGAGTACAATAGGCGCATTATTGTACTTTTTGTTAGTATATTGTATTTATTTAGGTTTATTTAGCTCACTTTCTTATACGGCCCAAAGGCCTATCTTGTATTGTATATATTTTTGTATTTACTTAAGAAAGACTCCACCGCACTTCAAGTGTGGAACAACCTCGAAACTCTTTTTCATGACAACAAGGACGCGAAGAGCATGCAGATCGATAACGAGCTCCGGAACATCGTCATGGGAGACCTCATCGTCACCGCATATTGCACCAAAATCAAAGCCTTAGCAGACCTTCTTGCCAACCTTGATCCAGATTCCGCAATTCCCGACAAGCATTTGGTTATCTACACAATCAACGGCTTGTCGTCTAAATTCGATTCCGTCGCTAACATCATACGGTACCGTTCTCCGCTTCCGACCTTCATTGAAACCCGGTCGATGTTACTCATGGAAGAACAACGTATGTCAAGTCCTCGACTGGTGTACACCAAAAATTCTACCAACTCCTCATTGCCGACTATTTTGCACACGAGACACGGCTCGTCAAACCGGCCTAACAACCGCCGTCCAGATCGCCGCCAACAGCACCAACGCCGCCGCCAACAGCCTCCGACGATCGTCCCAAACCAGCCTTACGGCTGGGTCTTTATTCCGCCACCGGAGTTGCAACAACAGCATCGCACCCCCTCATCGCCGTCATGGCAGTAACAAACAAGCGGACTGTTGGGCCCTCTTCCTCGACAAAATCATCATGGTGTTTCCCATCTTCAGCAGCCAAGATACACGGCTCAACAGCATGGCATCCGGCCACAAGCCCATTTCGCAAGTTCAGACTCTTCTGGCCTAAATTCTGCCAGTGACCCATCTGTCTCTTGGACTTGGACGAGACCAAGTCAACCCACCAGCCTACCGGCACTTTTTAACACCATGACCTTAAATGATCCGGGTGCAAACGGCTGGTTCATGGACACCGGGGCGACAGACCACGTGCACGCAAATGCAGGTATACTAAACATTGACCTTCAAACTTGTAATTATCATTCGGTTCTAGTCGGTGATGGATCTTGCATAYCTGTAATTACKACCGGACACACCTCCTTTCCACTTAAAAATCCCTATYGTCCATTACATCTTAATMATGTCCTTATCACCCCTAATATTATCAAAAACTTGATTTTTGTCCGTCAATTCACTAAACAAAATAAATGTTCTATTGAATTTGATGAGTTTGGGTTTACTGTTCATGATTTCAGAACACGGCGCCCCCTAATCCGATGTGATAGTGACGGTCCTCTTTATCCGGTCATTCCTTCCACTTCGCAAGTGCACGTTTCCTTGAATCCATCCACATGGCACCAACGCTTAGGACATCCCGGCGACCAAGTGTTGAAGTCATTAGCATCAAATAAATTTATTTCTTGTAATAGTAATAAATTTCACAAACTTTGTTCATCATGTCAACTTGGCAAACATACAAAGCTTCCATTTGTTCTTTCTGATTCTACTGTTTCTCATGCATTTGAAATAATTCATTCTGATATATGGACTTCTCCGGTTATTAGTGTTAGTGGATTTCGATATTATGTAATATTTTTAGACCACTACACTCACTATCTTTGGGTTTTTCCTTTAAAACAAAAATATGATGTGTTTATCAAATTTCTTGAATTATTCCAATTCATCAAAACTCAATTCCACACCACCATCAAATCGCTTCAATGTGACAATGGGGGTGAATATAATAATAACCAATTCCATAATTTTTTCACTACCAATGGAATTCAATTCCGCTTCTCATTCCCCCACACTTCCCAACAAAACGGGAAATCCGAACGCATGCTTCGCACCATTAATAATATTGTGCGCACGCTTCTCTTTCACTCGCATATTCCACCAACGTATTGGGTTGAAGCACTCAATATGGCCACTCATCTACTTAACATCTTACCCTCTACCTCCATTCAAAATGAAACTCCTCACTTTCGCCTCTTCCAAAAACATCCAACTTACGGTCATCTCCGCATATTTGGATGTCTCTGCTTTCCCCACATAACTACATCTCACAAACTGGAACCACGCACCATCCCCTGCGTATTTTTAGGATACCCTTCTCATCATCGGGGATACCGCTGCCTAGACTTATCCTCTCGTCGCATAATCATATCTCGACACGTTGTCTTTGATGAGTCGATTTTCCCTTTCGGCTCAGTCACACCGATTTACCCTCCCTCGTACTCCTTCCTTGACAACCACTCCGAACCATCTCCCATGTTCCGGACTATCCTTGAGTCACCCTCCACTCCGCCTGTGGCTCCCACCCACACCGATCCCCCAYCCTCGGTCACCTCTACAACTTCCCACCCTACACACCCCATGACCACCCGTGCTCGCAGCGGGATTGTCAAACCTATTGACCGTCTAAATCTTCATACCTCCTCCATTTCTCCTGTCCCACGGTCCCACTTACAGGCTATGCAGGACCCACACTGGTGAAAAGCCATGAATGAGAAATATCAAGCTCTTATGTCCAACGGAACATGGATTCTTGTTCCGAGACCTCCGGGGGTCAACGTGGTTCGATCTATGTGGCTTTTTCGCCACAAACATCATGCAGATGGTTCTCTTGCTCGCTATAAGGCCCGTCTTGTGACCAATGGTCGCAGTCAGCAGCAGGGTATCGATTGTGATGAGACATTTAGCCCGGTTGTTAAATCGGCTACTATACGCACTGTTCTCAGTTTATCAGTATCCCGAAATTGGCTCATTCATCAGCTAGATGTGAAAAATGCCTTTCTTCATGKGCATCTTCAGGAGACTGTGTATATGCATCAGCCGCCGGGGTTTCGAGATTCATGGTATCCCGATCACGTATGTCACCTGCAATGATCATTATACGGACTTAAGCAGGCCCCTCGGGCCTGGTATCACAGATTCGCCAAATATGCTCTTCAGATTGGATTTCAGAACAGTCGCTCCGACTCCCCACTGTTCATATACCATTTACAACATGCCACCGCGTATCTTCTTCTGTATGTCGACGACATCATCCTCACGGCTTCCTCCTCTGAGTTCCTTCGGCAGATCATTTCTCARCTTAGCCAGGAGTTTGCCATGACGGATCTAGGTGCTCTGAACTACTTTCTCGGCATTTCTGTTGTTCGCTCTTCCWCCKRTTTATTTCTCTCACAGCARAAATATGCACTTGAGATACTTGAGCGGGCAAAAATGCTCAACTGTAATCCCTCTCGGGCTCCAGCTGAACCGATACAGAAGTTAGACGCCACCGGTCCACCCGTAGCCGACCCTTCCTTATACCGCAGTCTAGCCGGAGCACTCCAATACCTGCCATTCACTAGGCCAGACATTGCTTTTGCCGTCCAGCAACTATGTCTGTACATGCACGACCCTAGAGATCCACACCTCCAGGCCCTCAAACGAGTTCTCCGATACATTCGAGGTACTATCAGCCATGGTCTTCAACTTCATGTATCTCCCTCGTCTGACCTTATTGCTTACTCAGACGCCGACTGGGGGGGATGCCCAGCTACCCGAAGATTCACCTCCGGCTATTGTGTATTTATGGGGGACAATCTTGTTTCATGGTCCTCCAAACGTCAGGGTGTTATATCGCGTTCTAGCGCAGAAGCTGAGTATCGTGGAGTCGCGAATGTTGTTGCAGAAACAAGTTGGCTTCGAAACCTCCTTCGAGAACTTCAGTGTCCCAAAACCAAGGCCACTATCGTATATTGTGACAATATCAGTGCAATTTATACGTCTACCAATCCGGTACAACACCAATGTACCAAACACATAGATATTGATATTCACTTTGTCCGGGACAAAGTTGCTATGGGTCTTGTTCGAGTTCTCCATGTCCCTTCCAGTTCTCAGTATGTTGATATATTTACGAAGGGTCTCCCGACATCACTATTCCACGACTTCAGAGACAGTTTGCATGTTCAAAAACCTCTCGTTCAAACTGCGGGGGGATGTTAGTATATTGTATTTATTTAGGTTTATTTAGCCCACTTTCTTATACGGCCCAAAGGCCTATCTTGTATTGTATATATTTTTGTATACCTTTGTGAATGGCAAAGGGGGAAAACATTTTTCCTAAATTACACTTTTCACAATACACTTGACCATATATTGTAACTCTCAGTGAACTTATTAGCTAGATTTAGCTCAACGTCAACGCAATGTCATTGAGATGATATCAAATTGATCTTTTGGAACCATTGACGTGAGCTTATACTTTCCATACAGAGAGAAAAATGAGATTAATAATGGAATAATACATACTTAGATAGTAAATGGCAAAAGTACTAGCCTTCATAGAATAATACCAAACAATGTCTTGGTATCTATTTGCTGATATTAAGTATCTATCTTACTCATACAACGGTTGTTCCCAAACTGGATAAGGAATTACCATAGGGAACGCGTTGATTGCTTGTAAGTAAACTAAGCAAATCCTTGTAGCTACTTTCTCAAACTATTCCAAGAATATTACTATACATGAGACTGTTGAAGAGTGTATATGGTTAAAGACTACGGTTACACATATTAGACGAGCTGGTGTTTCGAGTTCAACCACTATCCTACATGCATATATGGAAATAATGCATCAAGTATCGAAGAAATGAAATAAGATACATCAAGTGTGATAACAAAAAGCATATTTTGTGTACGTTTTAAACAATCAACAATAACAAACTCTTCTCAATATTTAAGTGAATATAATAACATATTTATTTACCAAATCATTACGTAAAACCACATTTGTGAAACATTTAGAAAGTATCGGAATACAAAGATTTTCCAAGCTCCCTTGATTAATGCACGAATCAGTGGGAGTAGTAGACAAAATGGGAGTCTACTGTATATGTAATATTTGGTATGATATCTCTTTCCTTCACCCAAGGTTTTATTTTTCCCATTGGGTTTGGTTCGTTGGCATAAGGTTTTAGTGAGGCAATAGTTTTATATATCATCATGATTTCCTAACTCTCATGATTAATGTTCGGAGTAAAGAGAACATTAGACCAAAGGAAAAGTCTATGTATTGCAAAGAAGCTGGTGTATTGTACTATAGACATCGTCGTATTTTTATTTTTTCCATTGGGTTTTTGTTTTGACGTAAGGTTGTAACGAGACAACAATTATGCACTACCACTCCTTTAACTGTGCACAAGGGGCAATGTTGTAGGATAAGTGTACCATCGTCTAAAGGATAAAATTAAATATATTAGAGATAAATTAAAAAAAATTGAAATTTTGATTTTTATATAGTAGTTTTGTTTCTATTTTTTATAAGATGAAATTAAAGTTTTAGGTGTTTAATCAAATGGTACTTTTAACATATCTAATTCCTTATCAAGATATACATTCCTATTCCTATTCCTAGTGTTAAAAAAATAAAATAAAATAAAATAAAGATGGTCATGTTTACAAAACAATTTGGTTAATATGGTCGCATTGCTTGGCTTTGTCAAAGTGGAAGATTAATTACTATTACTACTACTAGTGAAGGATACTCAAACCAAATCCATTTAATAATCCTAACCCTAATCCCTAATCCCCATTTCATAATTCAAGATTTCACAAAATAAGGAAAAACCAGAAAACGAAAGACAGACCTAAGAAGAAAAGCAAGCACCTCCTTCTTTCTCTTCTCATTCCCCTCTTCATCTTTAACCCAAAACATAGATAAAGCAACTCTCTTTCTTTTTTTAAACACCCCACCCCAACCCAAAACCCTTGATGAAATTTTGATCCTTTTCTTTCTGGGTATTTTTCCTTTTTCTTGTGTTCCAACCATGGAATATGATAGCATTCAATGCATTTCAACCTCCGATGGATTGGCCGAAGAAGAGATCCAACATCATCATCATCAATTTTCTTCATCAAAAATTCATAATGTCAATGTCGTTCCTTCAACCACCACCAGTGTTCATGACCTTCTTGAATGCCCTGTCTGTACAAACTCAATGTACCCTCCCATTCATCAGGTTCTCTTTTCTTTTTCGATTCTATTTCCTTCTTCATATTTATGATTCGCCTTCGGATTTGGGGTTAAACCTATTTTGACTCAATTTTATATGTGGAAACTGAAATTATTGATTTGGGTTATGATTTCATCCTGCTGATTCAAGGTTTGTGTGATTTGAGGGTTTTAGGACATTTTGACTTTTTAATCAATCACACTACTCTTTTCAGGATTGATGATCTATTAAATGCAAAGAAAAGGATTTGGTACTGTCTATAAAGTCAAACTCATTGAGTTTTGAGTTAAAATGGATAGTTGTGGCTCAAGACAATCTGTTGGTGAAAGGTTAATGAAATTTGAAATATAATGAAACCAATGACTATACTTTTTTTTTATTTTGAAAGGGAAACCAATGACTATACTTATTCATCTCATTATGTATCATTCTTCTTAAATTTAGTTTCCAAACAGCAGGAAATATATATGATAAGAGTCTTTACATACATAATTGATATAATGTCCAAAAGATGTGTATGTTTTTTCCTCTCTTTATATATGCATTAATTCATGCATAATATTTTTTACACATATATGCACTCACTATTGTATATAGATATGGGTTGTACTATAATCTTTAAACATGCTCCTAATGGATAACAATTAAGTTCTTAGGTAACAAGATTACTGATGAAGTTGCACTGTTAGATCAGATGATGTGAAGATCCTAGGAGAGTGCATCTTTCAACATCTGAATATGTTGGAGAAACAAATCAATTAGTTAGCTTGACTTGTGCCATTGAAAGCCTAAAATGGACAATTTTCTTTCTTAGGAACACATACAAGATTTGTCACCACAAAAAGGATGATGGTAACCCCTCCATTAGCTATTTCATTCATAGCAAGGGTAGCGGATTTTAGGTAGAGCCGGTTAATAGGGTAGCCCAAAGCCTCTTTGACCTATAAATAGGAGTGCCCCTTTGTATGTGTGTTTCTTGTGCATTGTACCCTCTATATGCACAATTATATCTGCTCTACACTCTAGTTCCCGTCTTGCCGTGGCCTTCTATTCTCTAGCCTTTCTCCCTAAGTGTATGGTCTACGTACATCATGCCCTCCCCAGGGCCCAGACCCTATCTCCTTGTGGATATATTGGGTACATTTTGGTTTGGTTTATAGTAATATAGATACATTTCCTCCCAAGCCAGAATTTATAACTTGCTATCACAAAATGAACTCCTGCTTCAATCATCTTTTCTAAATTATCGTTCTATTGTCTTCTTGTATGTATCTATGTATGTGTACATTAAATGATTTTGAATTGATAAACCATCATGTAACTCTTTTTGAAAACAAAAGAAACTTCTAAATTTATATTTGGGAATTCCTGAGAATTGTCATTCATTTTCAGGAGTTTAAATATGTTTGTATAACAAATTTCACACACACACACACACACATATAGAAAGAGAGATCTGTAGATAGATAATCTTTGCATAGCTTTTCTCTACTCTATTACATATATAAAACTTTTATCATTAAACTGTTTGGTCATTTTTGTTGAGTTATTGATGCTATTTTTAATGAATGGACTCACTAAAAAATATACTTTGTGTAAGATGATGCAAAAAAACTTACTCGAACACTTAAAACAAAGATGCATGTCTTATCGAAATAGTTGACAATCTATACAAACAGTATTTGAGTATTTCATGGCGTTTTGACTGTTGAAGAATATTCGTTTTTTACAAACAAATTGATACCAATTCTTACAGTTATACAATAAGCAAAAATCTATGACCTTTACTTGCTTGGAAGTTAGGTTTTATCAGCAACTATTACAAAAAATCCATATACATGCCAACTAGTAAACATGCTAGTTTTTGTACTTGGCACATGTGAGCAAGGATTTGTAATCTCTCTTTTGTATATTAGAAAACGCTAGATCGTATATTAGGATGCTTGCTCGTAGTATGTAAGTGGTTCATATATATATATATATATATATATATACACACACACACAAAAAAAAACTTGACGAATGTAAAGAATTTAGAAAAAGCATAATTGTCTTCTATACTTTGCTCAAGAGTAAAGCAACACTGGAGGACTTTCCTTCAATGTACTTAGAAGTTAGAAAGAATGGAGATAATTTGACTACAAAATGGAGATAATTTACTGATCACATCTTTTATGGAATTGATCCCATTTTGACCGAACAACAATATGTGGAGCTCAGCTTGTTCGCAAGCACAGGTTGGTGTTTGTTGAGATGTTTTGGATCCTATCTCAAATGAGAAGTCCGTATTCATTTATGGAGTTGAATCAGTCCGGAAGTGAAGCTTTTGTCAGCGTCCTAGTAGGATTAGACTTGTACTCGGGTCCATAAATGCTCTCAACCTGCTTTACAGTTAGAGACATCGGTTTTCTTTCATTATTTCTATATTGCATCACTTTCTCCAATAGTGAACACCCAATTGCTGCTGCTAGGTGTTCTTTACTAGATTTCCAAAAAAAATGCATTTTTTGGGGAACCCAGCACAAAGAAGAGTAGTATACTTGATCTTAGGGAGATACCCACGTATGCTATACCAGAAACCTAAGCAATACCCCTTCAAGAAGTCCCAATGAACAAAAGAAGGTTGTATCAACTATCAACAAGATGCATATATCCATATATGCATTCTACGTTCCCAATAAACATTCTATGTTCGAAGTATGAAATCAAAAGTTGACTTTGGGGGAAGAAGGAAGTTCATTTTTTTGATAGTTTAATTTAGAAAATGGCTTGTATTCTCTCTTTTATATAATCTAGTTGAGAGGTTTATAAGTTTGTGATCTCTACAGTGTCACAATGGCCACACGCTTTGTTCAACCTGTAAAACACGGGTGCACAACAGGTGCCCAACTTGTAGACAGGAGCTTGGTGATATAAGGTGTCTTGCATTGGAAAAAGTGGCTGAATCGCTCGAATTTCCTTGCAAATACTGCCCCCTTGGGTGCCCTGAGATCTTCCCATACTACAGTAAGCTGAAACATGAGCTCATCTGCAATTTCAGGCCATACAGCTGTCCATATGCTGGATCGGAGTGCTCGGTGGTTGGGGATATCCCATATTTAGTTACTCATTTGAGGGATGATCACAAAGTTGATATGCACTCCGGATGCACTTTCAACCATCGTTATGTCAAGTCCAATCCACGCGAAGTTGAAAATGCCACATGGATGCTAACGGTTAGTATAGGACCATCATGTCAATATAATATAAAGTGATCCATTTTTTGAACCTTCACCACTTAACTTCTATTACAAACTAATCATCGTTCTTGAGTACATGCCAATGAGCAAGTAGAATTTCTTTTGGAAGTATAAATGCAAAAGTATCCATACTTTCCCAAAATTTGCACATTTTTGCAAAATGTAGCGTTCTTTTTTGCATTTTTGCAAGGACGGTGGTTTGCTTGCAATAAACAATGAACTCTGATGGTTCAAAAAGTCACTTAACTTATATATTTACTTTCTTTTTCTCTCTTTTATGTTGGTGTGCTTTCTGTAAACCCTATAACCCATAAAAGGTGTGGGTACCATTCACCCTTTTGTTATGAGAAAAGAGTTGAGATGTGACTTATGAAGGCAGACTTGTTATGTTTAAAATTAAGAAGTATGAATTTTGTTAGAAAGTTTTCTATATTAAAGCTAAACACTGTTTTCAGTTTCGTCATCCTTCAATTTGAATGTCAAACTTAAGAAATTGTTTGTTCCTTTCTGTATCTTTTGATATAAATATCTGTTTTCCCTCAAAAGATTAAACATTTCATATCAAATCTTAAAATCTAAAGTGGTTTGTTTGACATTCAAATTTAAAGTAGAACAGCTAATTAATACAAGATCGAGGAAGCAGCTGTATCGTTACAAATTTAGAACAATTTTGTTTGTGGTATAATTGAATGTAGTTATCGGTTAATAGAAGAGTTGATGCAGGTTTTCAATTGTTTCGGGCAGTATTTTTGCCTGCACTTTGAAGCATTCCAGCTGAGCATGGCTCCGGTTTACATGGCATTTGTGCGGTTCATGGGGGATGAAGAAGATGCCCGGAATTACAGTTACAGCTTGGAGGTGGGGGGAAATGGCAGAAAGCTGATATGGGAGGGCACCCCTCGCAGCATCAGAGATGGCCATCGAAAGGTGCGGGACAGCCACGATGGCTTAATTATACAGCGAAACATGGCCCTTTTCTTCTCTGGTGGAGAAAGGAAAGAACTAAAGTTGAGAGTTACTGGTAGAATATGGAAAGAACCTCCGAACCCTGATGCTGCGGTCGGCCCTTGTATTCCCAATCTCTCTCTGTAGTTAGTTAAAAGAAAAAAGCTTTGATTTTTTTTTTCATTACTCTTAATCTTTATGGAGTGGATGATGATTTTGGGGTAATAATTTTTGATTTGTTTGTTTTGTTTGTGGAATGGAGTGTAATGGGTGATTATATTCTTTGTTTGTATTGTGTGAAAAACGCAATGAATACCAGAAGAAGAAAGGAAAGTGTAGGTTTTGAAATCTTTAATTCTTCTCTTTTGTCTGTGGTTGCTTATATGATATGGGTTTCAAGGCATATATATATATATATATATATATATATATATATCTTTTGGTACATTTATACAAGAAGTTAATGGCAATCAGTAATTTCTTTAAATTATTATCCAAGTTTTGGTCTTGTATTCATTCCTCCAAAGCTTGTAACCCTACCGTAAAAACACTATTTTATCTCTTTGGAAGCATCAACAAAAACAATGACAAAATGGTAGAGATTGGAAAAAGAAAACAGAATATATGTACTTCCAGACAATGTTCAGAATTCTTTTCTTACTTTCTGAATCCTTCACAGGTTGAGGTATGCCTACTTGCAAAACCAATGACTTTTTAAAATCTTTGCTATTTTGGTGTTAAAAACCCATCAATTTGATTTTCTTTTACCGTTGTCAGGGTACTCACACCGAACCCGAGTCAATCCTGTAGAACTCGGCCACTCAGTCCGGTTCATATTCCTTGTCCTCGAATTCTAAAGAGGCAAGGGTTCATCTGAGGTTTTAGTCTCCTTCTCTCACCTGAATTCACTATCTTGGAGATTGTTATTGTTATCCATCACATCTTGTCTAGCTAGCTCGTCTTTTTCACTCCATGTTTTAGTTTTCATCTCTCTTATTATATGTGAATTCAGTCCTTTTTGTTTATGGAGATTCTAAAGCCAGTATCCACCCGAAACCCTCAAACCTTACTTCACTCTATCACCAATTCCATCACAATTTATAGAACCAAAAACCCACTCAATTTCAGAACACCATTCTTCAAGTTCTTTCTTAAACCCTCTCCAATTTTATCGAATTTCCGACTTCACAGCTCCAGAAACTTGATAGTTTCAGCTCATTTCGACAGACCAACCAAGCGCAGGAAAAACCATCTAAGGAGAAAGCTCATTGAACAACAGGTGCGTCAGAATCGTACAATTAATCATGATTTAGCTTCTATTCCTGAAAACCCACTTCCTAAAATTGATGATATCGATAATTCCCTGTCAAATTTGCGGATTCTTAATGATGATATTGATTATTCCGAGTCAACTCTTGATTATGGTAAAGTATCTGACGGTATAGATGCTTCAAAATCAAAGAATGTTTTGTGGAATCAATTGGAGAGTTGGGCTGATCAGTACAAGGCTGACACACAGTTTTGGGGTATCGGGTCTAATCCTATATTTACTGTTTTTCAAGATTCAAATGGTAAAGTAGAGAAGGTGGATGTTAATGAAGATGAAATCTTGAGAAGAATCCAAATCAATCCATCAATGTATAACCTGAAAGAGGTAGATCATGTAAAACAAGTGCAAGACAAAATTTCTCATGCCAAATTTTTAGCCAAAGAAATGGAGATTGGAAAAAATGTGCTTCCACCAAATAGTTCAGTGGCAAAATTTGTAAATTCTTTTGGGAAATCGGGTTTTCGTGATACTATTCGAAGTTTTACTGGTAAACCTGGTATTCTTCCCAAACTTTCTAAAGTTGGGATATCAGTTTTTTGTGGTTTTCTTGTATTTTTGGCCTTGAAGAACTTTTTTAGAAAAGAAAAGGGAGATAAGGAAGAGTATTCTAGTTTGGAGAAGGAGATGTTGAGACGAAAGATTAAAGCTAGGATGGCCAAAGAAAAATCAACAAAGGGTAGTGTGGAAGTTATTCAAGATTCTAAGGAGCCAGGAATGGTGTTTACAGAAAGGCCCCAACTAGATAAGGAAGAGCTTATGGACAGCATTGTGAAGGTAAAGGCATTGAACAATAATTCTATAGATTTTGATGGTAAAATCCAAGAAATTAGAGCAATGGCGAGGCGTGCACGAGAAATTGAGAAAACAGATGGTAAAAGAATTAATGGGGAAGGTTATGAAAGTAAGAAGGATGAACCAAATAAAAAGGAAGTGAACAGTGTTGAACCCACATATTTTGACGTCCCACAAGGTGATTTCAGTAGAATTGTAAGTGCATCAAGTAGTGTAGAGAAGGGCCATAAAGAAAATTCTGATGTTTCAAAATTGGAAGTTCCAAATAATGATGAAGGTGTTGCACAAGGTCTGGAAGACAAACGGTCGAAGTTATTAGATACAGAAAAACTACTTGAGAAGAAATCAGTTGGAGCAAAATCAAGGATTATTAGTTCTGTCAAGGAAGCAAGAGAATATCTTCATAAGAAAAAAATTGACAAGAAAGAGAAAAACCAAGAAGCCGAAGTTTCAGACTTTCTTGAAGTTCCTATGGTTCCAAAGATGGCTACTAATGGTGAAAAGTTCGACTTTTCTGGTAGTAGGGAACCAAGTCGAAGCAAGTCTTCAGAAGATACCAACTTGGGAGAGAAAGGAAATGCATTCACCAAGAATGCTGATTCGAAGGATGAGAAAGAAGAATGTGTTACAGGTAGTGATGCAAAGGCAGGGGAATTAGGAAGAGCAAATCGTGAGAAGTGGATGGAGGATAATTTTCAAGAATTTGAGCCAATAGTTGAGAAGATTAGAGGTGGATTTAGAAAAAATTACATGGTAGCTAGAGAGAAAGTGAAAGAAGATATAAATATAGTCTCAGAGCTGAAAATGCTTGAACTTGATGAAAATGAAAGTGAATTTGAATGGATGAAAGATGAGAAGCTTAGAGAAATTGTGTTCCAGGTACGAGAAAATGAGCTGATGGGCCGAGATCCTTTTCATCTTATGGATGCTGAAGATAAGGCCTTGTTTTTTAAAGGTCTTAAGGAGAAGGTTGAGAAAGAAAATGAGAAACTACACGCTCTTCATGAATACCTTCATTCCAATATTGAAAACCTTGATTACGGAGCAGGTAATGAATTTTATGCTCTAACAGAGACCCTTTATATTACGTACACTTTTTTTGAAGGGTGTCCCCGGCAAATTGTGACTATTAAAAATCAGCCCTGATAAACTCAGTAGCCACAATTATTGTGTACGCCTAGAATCGAACCCTGGGTTGATGGGATATTCCACCACATCCCCCAGCACCTCAACCACTATGCCACAACCCTTGTGGTTTATTACGTACACTTTGGTGCATCACATGTAAGCCTGGTATAATTATGATTCATTTTGTAACACTACTAACAAAGACCTCTTTCTAATTTCAGTCTTAATTATATCGTCTTAGGTTCGACTCTTAAGGTCAAATAGACTGGTTTTCAGCCTCAATTGTATTAGGATCCTTATAGGGAGGAACAAAATTTTGATGGTTGCATAAAAATATATTAGAGAAACTACAACAGAATGGTATGTGTAAAATTTGTAACAATGTTTATTTCAAGTTTAGATTTTTTTTAGAACTTGATTCTCGAAGGTTCATTTCTCTTTTGTATCACATCTCTTTCTTCTTTAATATGTAAAAGAGAAAACAAATTTCTTTTTTTAATTAAAAAGCTATTATCCTAAACATAATTATGGCACTTTCTTTAGATGGGATTAGCTTGTATGATCCTCCAGAGAAGATCATACCCCGATGGAAGGGCCCCACACCAGCTACAACAATGAGCCAAGAGTTTCTTGATGACTATTTAGATCAAAGGAAAGCACTTTTTGCTGAAACCTTGGGGAATTCGAATCTTATAAAGACGGATCCACAAAAGTTGCCTCAAGAAACCGATGAAAAAGTTGAAAGTGGGAATTTGAAAAGTTCAAGGACCGTGATAGAAGGGAGTGATGGCTCTACTAAACCTGGCAAGAAATCGGGGAAAGAATTTTGGCAGCATACGAAGAAATGGTCTCGTGGATTTATAGAATCATATAATGCTGAGAATGATCCAGAAACCAAAGCTGTTATGAAGGATATTGGGAAGGACTTGGACAGATGGATCACTGAAAAGGAAATACAAGAAGCTGCCAATATAATGGATAAGGTTCCTGATAAAGGAAAAATATTCATTGCTGAGAAAATCAATAAGCTCAAAAGGGAAATGGAGTTGTTTGGACCACAAGCTGTTGTGAGCAAGTATAGCGAGTATGGAGATGAGGAGGAAATAGACTATTATTGGTGGCTTGATCTCCCATTTCTACTGGTAAATTTGCTTCTTGATCCCTTCATTCATGCCAAAGAGAAAGAAAGATCAATAATACTCCTTCCATTTGAGCAAAAGAAGTGATACACTTTTACAATGAGTAGTTGACTTTTCAAACAGTAATACTTGGCTTTTTGTTACAAACAAATTATCTTTCTTGCAAAAATTCAAAAAGAACCACACTATGCTATGCAACAATGAGTGATTTTGGACACAGCGTTTCAATGTCAATGACTTCTTTAATTTGCATTTGCATAATTATGTGCAAAACCATTGTTTCTTGCAAACGATAATGATTGCTTTTACAATTTACTGTTGTGGCTTCTTTGATGTGATGCAACCACCAAGTTCTGCTTGAGACGTCAAAGAATTCTTGTCAATATTGAGTTGCAAATTAGTGTGTTCGACCTCAAACGTCAAATTGCACCTCTCTTTTGCATGGGAGGGAGCAAAACATATTGGTATATGCGGTTGTGTTATAAGATTCATATGTTTTGAAAAAAATTGCAGTGTATTGAATTATATATCGATGGAGATGGAGATCAGAGAATAGGATTCTATTCATTGGAGATGGCATCGGATCTTGAACTAGATCCAAAACCACATCATATTATTGCTTTTGAGGATGCTGGTGACTGCAAGAATCTTTGCTATATTATACAGGCTCATTTGGAAATGCTTGGAAATGGCACTGCTTTTGTTGTGCCACAATCACCAAAGGTTAGTAGTCAAACTAGCCGTCTATATATATATATATATATATATATCATTTTATGATACACACATATACATAGCGCAAGAGAGCATTTCAGGGGAAACCCCCAAAGAAATGAAAAACTGAGGAACATCCAAATAACCCTTCATCTGTATGTATGCACATGTGCATACAAGTAATTAAAGATGAATGGTTATTAGGGTGTTCCCAAGTTTTTTTATTTTTTTGCAGTTTTCCCCATAATCTGACTCTCTCTCTCTCTCTCTCTCTCTATATATATATATATATATAGCTATATATATAGCTATTTATTTGCTTTGTGCGAGGGTTGCAATATGGGCATTCTTTCAATGGGAAGAGCTGAAGAGGACCAAATATCTGAATAACAATCTTTACTAGGCATGAAAATGTTTAAATTTTAACAATATACCTAAAATGGGAAGGTTGCAATTTTCATGTGACAGAGTAGGCATTTTTTATTCTATTGGTTTTATGTTTATACGATGAATTAGAAGAAAGCCATGTGTTTATTTTTTGCAGGATACCTACCAGGAAGCAAGGGCAAATGGTTTTAATGTTACAGTTATAAGAAAAGGAGAGGTAAAACTGGATGTGGATCAAACACTAGAAGAGGTGGAGGAAAAAATTGTTGAGATGGGGAGCAAGATGTACCATGATAAAATCATGAAGGGCCGGAATGTGGATATAGAATCAATTATGAAAGGTGTATTTGGAATGAAGAAACCTAGCAAGAGGTAATTTTACATCTTGAAGCATTGTGGTCTTTACCTCATTTATTTTACTTGAAGATTGTCTTTCTTTCTATTTATATCCCAAAAATTATGTTAGATTATATTAGTTCACCATTTGAAAGACAAAATTGTATCTTTTTCCATTACAACTATGCATATCTTTGTTGTCGATATTTTGCAGAAGAAGATCAAGGAAGAAATTGAAGAAGCCAAGCAAATGATGCACGATATAAATGTATGATATCCTCCTAGGCTTTTGCATCTTGTTTCTTCTGGCATGCTTGTCATTCTACTCCCTTTTATTTAGAGAACAATGCATGTACCAGATTGGTGTTGTCATTATGTTGTAGAACTGAAGTTGTTTTCATTTCAGGAATGGATCTTTGTAACCATGGTTTTGGTGTAAGCAGAGCAGAAATAGATGCCAAGTTTTCTTGCTTGCATCATGGGGGATGTGTTTGTAACTTGCCCTTTTTAAAAGGAAAAGTGGAAATGAACATATTTGCATTTACCATAACTATTTATGGGATTTTGTTTTTCCACAATATGGAACTTTGGTCTTGGTAAATGCCTTTTTTTTTTTGAAATATTAATTATTTCCTTTTAATTTAATAATATTATTTTATTCAAAATTAATCTTTTTGTAAATATATTTTGATAAATCTATGTGACTAAATATACAAGAATTTTACTTCAAAAAAATCTAAGAATTCAATAATACATTCACATTTATAAAACAAATAATATCGTTTAGTACAATATGGCGACCAAGGAAATTGAAGTCATGGCAAGCCATCAAAATCTCAATTTTTGGTCTTTTCAAGTTTATCAAACATTTGATCTTTGTACTCCTCTTTTGCATCAAATATAGATATCACTATCTCTACTTTCTATCTAGTAGTAGAACCACGATAAGGAGAAATCGTTATTGCTTTAACGTTGAAAACACTTGATTTGAATCTGCATTGTTGTTTGAATATTGAGTTCTAAGGTTATATGATTCAATTAGTTTTATAAAGTATTTAGTGATTTGTAGAATCATTCCAATACAAGTGAAGTTACATAACATTCCTTGATTTAAAACATTCTGCTCCCATAACAACTTAGAAGAAATACGCCATTTAAATAACTTATTCCAACCATCAGCCCATAAATGGTATGGGGTCTGGAGACCCGAATTACCTACACCGGGACCGGATTGGGATTTGCTGATTGGGCCAACTTCCAACTAGTTAGCATCAGGCCCTTGGCCTTCAAATGCCCACAATCAACTCAATAACCAAAACATAAACACAAAGAATAATAACCAAAATTTATATTCATTTGTTGCTGATGGATTGAATCTGTTTTGCATTCATTGTATTTCAGATATATAGCTTGGAGCAATTGAGATCTGGCATCACCACCTACATTCAAATCTTCATTTATCTTATAACATACAAACGAAACCCATAAAATGAAAATATTAGTCGTAAAACAGAGAGAATTTTACTTAAAACAGCTTATTCCTGGGAACACATCCATTCACCCTCATACATGCATATGTACCATACCACATGCATGAGTAGTACGTAAAAACACATAATTGTATATACTGGTGTTATGATCTACAGACCTGTTAGAGTTCGGCTATTGAATCTAGACGCCGATCCATGATCTCAGAAACGGTCTCCATGAATGCAGCTTCACTCGAACCAGGAAGAACACAATCATCTGCTTCTTCAACAATCTCCTCAATCACAGACTGCTTATTCAGGTTTTCCCTACACATGATGCTTCCAATTGCAAAAGGGCTGAGTCCTTTCTCAACACCTTTCTTCAGAAGCATGGTGGATATCCGAAGAGTACGGGCACATTCCAGAGGTAAATTCCAGCCATAAAAATTAAGCAGAGCAATGTCTTCTTCAGCATCTAAAGAGTTTATGTAGTCAACAGTTTCAGGACTGAACCTTTGACGAGCTTGAGGCCAGTAGAGCCAATCGAAAGTGCAATCTTCAAACTGTGGCAACACAGGAAATAATGGGTGCTTGCTTAATTAGAAAAACAATGGATGTACAACGACTGATGTTTAAAAATTTAGATGATCATACTTCAGGCTCTAAATGGCATTTAAGATGGTAACTTTCCTGTCAAATCAAATTCCTTTTCTGTCTGGTTCACTTTATATAAATGGAACCAGTCTTTCTATGATGCAGAGGTACCACTGAAAATGCCATATATATATATATATATATATATATATGTGTGCGTGTGTGTGTGTGTGTGTGGAACCAGTCTTTTCTTGAACATTTAACTCAAAAGGGGAAGCCTCTATCAAGGGGTTTGCAATATTTCCTGTAGATAGATATTTGAAAGATCCTTATCAGTCTATAATTGAGTTTCATCTATGTGAGTCAAGATCCTAATAGGATTACATCTTGTATTAGAACCCATAAATACTCCATATATCTGCTTCAAGGGTTGCGTACATCCAGGGACACTCTTTTTTTAAGATGGCAAGGGGAAGGGTGAATTGAACACATCTTAGAAATTGGGCCAAATACCACCATGTTAAATGCTTCATAACATCAACTTTTTCTATATTATGATATCATCTACTCCTTCAATCCAAAAAAAAAGCAATTTTTTACTTGACACATAGTTTGAAAAAAAATGTTTGAATACCAATCAAATGTCAAACAAAATATAAGATAACTTGTGAACTAGAATCAGAATTAATAATTTCAAGTAATGACTAGTAGTGGGCAAAAAAGTAAATTCAGACTTAAAAGTTAAAACATATGAAAATATGAAGCACTGCGCATTTTTTTAACAACTTAAAATGAAAATTGTTACTTTTTTCTGGAAAGAGGAAATATCATGTTGCTTTAACAAAGAGCCCTTTTGTCACTGCTAGTGAACCACCCTGTTGGGTGAACCAAGTAAATCTCTATATTCTATGTGTGTGTGTGATTTTGGTGGTTTTTTGAGTATCCACAACAACACTGAACCACATACTGTGGATCTTCAGATCATCTGCTTCATGGACCTCAATAACAACCTAATTAACAATCTAAACTAAATAAACAAGCCAAACATAGTACAAGAAACGCAACAAAACAGTTACACTTACAATCTTATCTAAGAATGTAATGATCAAGATTAAAGCAACTAGGAGAAAAACTTACACTGTGAGGCAGGCAGTAACCATGATCAATAGGAATCAGCACAAACCGGCCATCTTCTCCTTTGCTCACCAGTATATTCCCAGCATGCCTATCAGCATTTGCCATCCTAATATCCAACACAGAAATCTTGTGCACCTCATCTACTGGAAAAGCACTAGGACCCATATCCTCGCAACTTCCAGAGTTCTCCATGAACATCTGCAGTGACCCAATCTTCTCCTTTAGACTCTCTGGATGATTAAACCCTTTGTGCATGCACGTTGCTAATATTGTAGGTGGGACACCGGCAAATCCCTTGTATTCACCAGAGAAAGATCGACGTCCACTTTTTGGGTGGTCCAGAAGATAGGCAGCAACTTCCCTCAATGCCCCCTCGCCAACTGTAGTACCTTTCTTTAACCCTTCACCATTAAGTGACAAGGGTAATCCTCTGGGGTTATTTACAGCCATAGGCTCCTCATCAATTGGCTTGAAAACAGATACATACTTGTTCCCCAACGCATCCATCATCAAGTAGGCTCCACCGGTACCCTCGGACGACCTTTTTGGGTAATTTCCTTTTCCCAACCCTTGATAGGTAGAGTTAATCAGGTCGAAGAGCACAGAAGGGAGTTCAGCCTTTGGGTTCACAATGATGGGTTCCAACCAAAACTCTCTATTCATAGGATCTCTAGCAACTAAACCACAATACCCTGTACCATCATCTCCCTTGGTGTGATGCCTGTCAGCAGAATCATATTCCCTTGAATCATTCACTTGTGGTGCAACAATGGCCAGTTCAAAATTCTTCTCCATCGGTGTAACTCTAATCTTTGCAGACTTCCTTACAAACAAATGAATGACACCATCGTTGTTATGCTTGCGAATGTCATGTATGAGTGTCTCATCTTCAAGCTCCTCCCCCTCACACAAGATATCTTGCTCATCCGTATCAATCAATCCTTTCTTGCTCTTAGCAAGCTGCTTTTTTACATAACCAACATCACGGTTCCTATCGACATGAAATGTGAACTCTTTCCCAGAAGAAGTTTTGACATTGATCATTTGAAGATCGGAAAGCTTGACAACCAAATGGATGACATTCCCATCTGCAACACCATAGTCCTTGACGGAAGAATCCCTTCTTGCTAACTCTCTTCCTTCACAAACCAACTTCTGATTCTTTACAACAAAGCCTTTATAGCTTTGAATACGAAGTTTGACGGATGCGATTGAATCCGACTCCAACACCCTAATGGGAACCACTGAACCCGACATAGCCAAATGAATGACGATGAAATCTTGGGTATGAACAGGCATCGGCGGCAGAATCATGTTCTCACAAAGTGGGTTAATTGCTAAAACACCAGCTGACGACATGATTGTCACTAACTTTTTACAAACCCTAGAATAAATCTAAAAAATCAAACCCTAAAAACACAAAAAGACCTCAAAACGCCTAAAGGATCACCCAAATTTCATCCATGATGAAATTCAATTAAAAAAAAAAACCTAGAAATGTAGCTGTTGGAGGTGCTCTGAAATCAAATGAAACCTAGGGAGATCGATTTAAAAGAAATCGAAATCCTGGGTTTTATTGAATCAATCGAAAATGGAGATAAAAAAAAAAGCTGGAGATTATTACAGAAATAAGAAAGAACAAGATTAGCAGGTGAATGAATGGAGAAGCGAAAATGAAATGAGGAGAGCGTAGATGGAATTGAAGGAGGAGGAGGAGGAGGAGGAGGGGCGAGCGTCAATGGATGTAATAATTGTAATACGCGGTTTGAAGGTTGAATGAGTGACTTTTTGTCCAAGACAACAAGTTAAGTTAATTGTGAATTGTGATGATGATTAAAAGCTTATTATTAATAGATAGACATGGCAACTGTCATCCACCACGTACCCTCCTTTCATTCTCCTTCTATCGTCCTCCTCATTTTATGCCCATCCCCATAATACCAACTCCTCTAACCACTTCTTTTTTTCAGCAACACCTTAAATTGTAATTGTAATTATATGTTTATTGTTCAGATGATCTACGGTTTGGATCACGTCCTTTAAATAAGATTTTTATGGCTCATTCACCCTTCAACCTTTTGATTTAGAGGCTGTTTACCAACAATAAACGCTGTCTGAAATAAGAGGTCTGATTAGAGTAAGCATCTCTGACTGGAGTAAGTGTTGTTTGTAAAATAAATTCATCTTGTGTTCAAGTGTAAGTTGTATGGTAAAAAGGATGCATCTAAACTTATTCAACTCTCACTTGCCAACTAGATATTACTTTTTCTTTCATACAAACCTTCTATAAAATAAAAGCCCCATTTCAATGCTTTAAATTATCGGTTCACAAAAAAGATTGAACCAATCATAAAGTACGACTCTTGCTCTTGCCACTCCTACTCCTAGACCAACCTTTATTTTTATATATAACCACTTCATCTAAAAGGATTGGACTTCATTATCGCCAGGGGTACGTTACTGCATACACTTTATATAAGAGAAGAGTCTTACAAAGATTGTTACCCCTACCCACATGCTTGTTTATCCGGATTTTGGAAGAGATCAAATGGCATCTCAACAAATCATGCAACACAATCATCGTCACCATGTTCATGCTATTTTTGCATGCTTTTTAGTGTTGAATACATCTTTTTTGCATTTTAGCATCATCATTCGTTTGTGTATGGCGTAATTTGGATGCATTCATCATTCATATCATGCTTCATTTGTGTTCGAGAAAACTAACGCCTCCATTGAGTTTTTTAGTCGTCCGTACCGAGATGGTGGTTGGTTTGGTTCAATGAGCAATAACAAGGAAGATAGAGATGAGAAGAAAATATACCATCTAGCGTGGTAAAGCAAGATGAAAACAAGACAAAAAATTTGCACCAACAATGTAAAAAATCAAAGAGCAAATGGAAATATTGGCACATATGTGCCAAATCAAGAAAGAAAATGACACAATCACACAAGATGATCAGAAGGTTTGGCATGGTCAAGACAAAATGCCACCGAACGTGAAAAACAATATGACAATTTAACAATATACCATGTCTGAGATTCTAACCGGCACCACTTGTGCTTTTCTTGTTTTACTATGGAAACCAATCTTACTCTTCTGAACTCTTCCATGGAGTTGGTATTTACATCCCATATTACTTTGTATTTCCTTGGATGATCTTTTGGACAAACAGTGCATTGTTTTTTCATGTAATTTGTCTCAAAGCAAGTGCGGTTACACCCACCATGGAGAGCTGAATCACAGTGTCACAAGTCACGCCGGACCATGTGTGTCCAAGCTCGGCAACTCTAATGTTCTAAAATAGCAAAAAATGAGAAAATTCTTACCAACAAATTTCGGGTGGCAACTTGTTCTTGGGATTACATCAAATGAACTACTTTCATGTTAAATACATATTAATTCATCAAACCCCCAAAAATAGGTCTAGATCAATTGAATTCAGATGACACCGAAGCAACCTTGACAACAAAAACAAGCCACCAAGATCCCGAGCATGGCCCCAGCCACAACCTGTGATGGGGTGTGGCCAAGCAGTTCCTTGAGTTTTCTTTTACTGATGGGATGTCCTTGAAACAAGTCCTCAACTATCACATTCAAGACCTGAAAAAACCATCAAATTCAGCACCAATTCTCTCCACCCCCCATTCATTACAACATACATCAAATCAACAATTTATGAAATCTTCAAATGAACAACAATGCATTTAGACATTATAACATCATCGCTTCTATAATCAAGTTTAAAGCTTGGTTGTAAGTAGACACTCACAACTTATTTGGTAAACTATACATGACATTTGGTAGTCACTTAATGATATTGACAGCCAAGTTTATGTCCCTCCTTGGGAAAAAACGCTTCTTCTACCATCCATGAAAAACCCCCGAAGTAAAAATCTTCCCAATCTATACAAACCCCCACACACAGGTAACTTCATTCATACGGCACTTAATGAAAAACCAACCAAACAACCCCTTACCTCTGCTTGCATCCCAGCGTGGCGGCGAACACCAATGGCATCATACATAACAATCAAACTAAACCCCAAACACACTGGAAATAAAGAATCTGCAACCCCATGACATATTGCCACTGAAGTAGTCAAAGCTGTGCATAAAGCAGAATGTGAAGATGGCATTCCCCCTGAAGCACACATTATTCGCAAGTCCAGTTTCTTTTCAAAGCAAAAATGCAAGAAAACTTTCAAAGATTGTGCCATCAGCCACGCAAAAAACCCAGATGCAAAAGTTGGATTTGCAGCAAGTGTTGCAACAAATGGGCTAAATCGAACCTTCAATCATGAATCAAGAGTCGTCAATCTTCAGAACTAGGTCAATCAAGAAAGCTAAATAAATAAAAATCTAACCTTTGCAGTTGAAGTAACACTCAAGAGAACCATACCAATCCCTCCATTTTGCAAGTAATTGCAACTTAATCCATCTGGATCAGAAACCCATTGGTCCATTGATGTTTTATCATCTAAGGTTCTTAAACCATGGAGAACTGATCTCAAAATTGGAAATTTCTTCATGGGTGAAGTGTATTTTTGCCATGAAGATGTAGGGTTTTGAGGGTTTGAAGAAAGAGAGATGCAAGAAGGATTTCTTGTGGGTTTGTTTGAAGTTGTAAAAGGGAAAGAAAATCTTGATATGGATGTGGTGAAGTGGAAGGAAGGGTATGTTATGACAGGGCCCATGAAATCAGTAAGGGTCTGTTGTTGCTCTGCATCGAAACAGAGTATGAGAGATTGGGGTTGGCAAAGAAGGAAGGAAGGAAAGAAAGAAGAAACATAGAATATACCGGAACGGTCCGGCGTTTATGCTTTAAAACACCACTTTCATACTTTTGGATATGTTTAAAAACCATTTCATAGTTTTGTTATAATTTCATAAAAATAAATAAATCAAAGTTAAAATTGTTTTAGATAATACAATATTAATTATATTATTACGTTTGATACAACTTCAAAATTTTATTCAAGCTTTGTGTGCTCTTGGCGTATAAGTCGTGTTTTGTATTTTGTTTTTATTATGAGATATTTTAGTTAACTTATACCATATATCAATTTTTATATTGGTTTTAAGATAAAAGTAATAATAAAATTTGTTGGAACTTTGTTACTAAGAAAAACTTGTCTCACATACGAGTCAAGCCAAATAAGGTTATTTACAGGTTGTTTTATTGATTTTTTATTAAGTATTGTATATGTAAACTAATTTGTTTGTATAGATTGTGAAGGTTTTGTTTGAAGAGTTTTTCATATATATAGACGGATTGTGTTTTTTAATTAGAAGCAACAACTTTGGAAATTTGTTGGCTTTCTATGTAACCCCTATCTGAAAGCTTATTGAATAAATCATTTTCTATATCATTAAACTACTACTAAACAGCCATGTATAGTTGCTCGAATAAGGTTTGAGTCTCATTAAACTGCTAACAAGTATTCCCTTAATAAAAGCCTAGAGCTTGGGTTTAAGTGAAAGAGTGAATTATATGGACCTGGATTTTAGTGTATTCATTGGACTTTGCAAATGGTGTTTACATATAGATGCTAAAGATAGGGCCTTAAGGTTCTTATGTTTTATGGGTTCTCTCATCCTTTTTCCACCAAAAATCCATCACTTCGAATAGCTATATTCAAGTTACACTTGAGTTCCATTGTTGTATCCTCCAGATGGACGCTATATCAGTGAATTTTCTGTTTGGACGCTGTTTGCCTCAATTATTTTCTCATTTTTTGCAAAAATATACCCCTATCAAGTAATAATTTATGATTGATTTCAACTGATTGGTTGTTGTTTGTGTGTTAACACTCTAGATTTCATATATCTTTTGTATTTTCTTTTTATACCTACACCTATTTTGATCAAGTAGACTTACCTTTAGGCAGTGTTCAACAATCTAGCTAACAAGCTAGCTAATGACTAATAAGTTAAATGATGAACCGAACACATTTGGCAAAAACTAACTGATAAACTAGTTGAAAATGATAAATAATAAAGAAGAGACATGTTTAAAAATTAATAAAATTTAGCATTTCATGGTATATTTAAAACACTTCACTAATAATAAATTATGTTAATCGATGCAAACTAGAATAGGAAGAATTAACTCTTGAAGAAGAAGAATCAAAGAATAATCATGTTCTCTTCCTCCTCCCGGCTACCCACCTGCAAAAAGAGGGTCATCCCATAGTTGATTTCTTCATTCACAAGTTGTATCTTCGGCGCAGACCCTGGTTCTCGCTCTATATAATTCTCGCTCCCAGGTTTTGAGTTCTTCTTTATGCTGAGTTCTCCAAACCCCTAAATATTTGGATGTAGATTACTTAATCACAAATATGTTTTCCTTCTTAAAGGAGGTACTTTTGATATTCTTAAACATCTATGTTCGTTTTCACAAATATGATTTTGATCTTTTTACTAATTTAGTATCATCAATTCTTTCCCACACTAACACTTATAACCAGACATGATGGGTTATAATTTAAGGCAAGGTCTTCAGTTGGACTAAATTCTTCTGAAGGCTCAAACTCCGGCTCTACTGTCAGAGGGTCTGATGAGCAATCTTTTGCTGGAGAATTATGGCAATAGTTTAAGCTATTTATTCACATGAAGAATGACAATTTTATAAATTGTTTCTCGAGGAAAGATTTATCTAACTGCACAACCTCTGTTGTATGTCGACAATATAGATACTTTCTACAGAGGTAATCGTGGATCATTTATCTTTGATTTTCAACTTGATAATTGGCCAGAACTTTATAAGGGTGTGTGGTGGGTAGTGTTCTTCTCATGATGAAGGTTCTAACTTCTAACCATCCACACGGGCATATGAAGAACTTTTAGCCTTGAGTTTGTGTAATTTGCAATATTCTATATTTTATTTTACATTTGTTATGCTTAAAAACAATTTTACAGCATGTATTTGATGTAAAATGGTTCTTTTAGGGTGGCAAAGCAGCGAATACGAGAAGCTAGGCTACAAGTTGTAGACTTTCTGCTTTTGTTGATAGCTGGAGTCTCTCTAAGAACACTTGCTAAAGTGAGTGATAAAAACTTTTGGGTAGTTAGATATACTTGCACCATCATTGCATTCTGTAAGTTTGAAACCTCTGTGTTTTAGCTTATGATTGATCCCTTGCAAATGTATGTGCCTTATGGTATGGCAAGAGGATCATCCGTTTTGAAAATATTTTAGGGGGTTTGCATAGAATCATTTGTGTCGGGTTCCTCTATGTTGTTTCTATTGATGGAATATTTGGATGTTACTCAAACATCCTGATAAAAGTGTATTGGTTAATTTTACGGTTCAGAAACTGATAAAGGTTTTGTGAGGGTGGTCTTTAGACGTATTCTCTCTCATTTGGGAAATATATATTGCTGACTTTCAGCTTTAGTCAGCAAGATTGCGGATATGAGATCATTTACGTTGGATAAGTTGTAGTTCTGACGAGAACAGTCTTCTGGAATGAGGTGCTTTGCATACTTTTCTTTGAAGGATACAATTGACCACTTCAACATCGTAAGAAAGCTTGCAGTCTACCTCTGCACATTTTATTATTTCAACCCCAAGGTCTTCCATCTTGGATAATTACATCATCTTGCTTTCCTTACCGTATTGTGTTTCAGGGTTGGCTTGTGCACTAGCCATCTACCTTGAACCTGGTTCTGCCCAACTGGTGAGTCGTTTCTGATCTGAAATAAATGCAAAACATTTCATTTTTGCCTGTTACCATCATCATAAAATATTAATAAAATTTGATTTTGGTCCACAAAATCTCTCTATTTTGTCGTTATTGAGGGTATTTTTTAGATGTTTTTTACTATTAATTAAATACTTCCGTAAACTCTGCATTTATTTTGGGCAAAAGTATGTACTTAGATTCATATAATCAATTTGGAGTAAATTGAGCATGACCCCTTAGTTACAAGTTTCTTTTGTTTCATAGTGGCCGGTGCTGCTTCCAATGGTGTTGACTCTTATTGGAAGCCAGAACGAAGACAAGGGTTCAGTTGTAACCCTTCTCAAGAAGATGTGTGCCTTTCATGGGATTTGGAGGCATTCTTACTAGCTAATGCAAAAAGTTTGACATGATTTTACTTTTTTTCCGTGTCTTTTTATTATTATTTCAATAACCATACCACATCAATCACTATAACTCACCCACCCAATGTGACACTTAACTTTCTTTCAATGAGATTGACCTATTGAACTCTTGTACTTGGCTTTTCATTACAAATTGTTGCAACTCTCTTTGTTTTGAATTTATATTTTCACAATTTGTCAATAATGCTTGTTTGGTTTGTGGGATTTGGTTAGCAAACTACAACGTCAGTTCCTTAAATCCCCATTCGAACACTACGAGTGCTAAATTTTGCAAGTCCAAATACAAGATACCATGCGGTGTGGTTGCTAACAAGATGTGCTGCAATTGCCAAGCGAAGTTATGATCTTAATGACTGGAAATTTTGCTTAATTCAGCTATTAGTCTCTATTTTAGTTTTTCGTATATTAGCTTTCTTCTTGTTAGTGGCCTTCCGGAAGAAGTAAATGCAGTCTGCCCGTATAAACATGAAAGCATACCTTCAACTCAAAGTACATCCAATGCCATAAAAACTCATATCTTTGGTTATTGTATTTTATCTTAGGGCGCCACGATGATGAGTTCATTGCTAAATCTTCCAAGTGTGAAGAAAAAACGAGATTAAACCCTCTGAAGTCCTGACTTCATACCTCTGTAACGATTTCTTGTGCTTTTGTTACTCTTGCAAGGAGTTGGAGGACGAAGACATCTACATAAAATCGTATTATATCGATAGAGACATAATAAAAACTAAACATAAAATAAAGATTTATCTCACTGCATTACGCGAGTACCCTTCTAGTATGTTATAAAGTATTTACAAATATTATTGCATGCGTAAACCCTTTCGTGTCTAAATTTTATTAAGTTAATTGATAACCAACTTATTAACACGTTTAAATATATGGTAGCCATTTACCTTATTGATATGACAAAATACTATATGAAACAGATGATCAATCAAAAATATAAAATAAAATGGATAGGAAAAATGAAAAGAACAAGACATGAATAAAAATAGATAATTCAAATTCAAGACGTAAAACACGATACATTTTTAGCCAATAGGTAACAAGTTAATGGAGAATTTATTAAGGTGGCAATTCCAACGTATATGAAGCAACATATTATCTTCGTCATTATATTATATGGTAGACCGACTTCTGCTATTAATAAAATTTGATTCATAAATGAAGATCAAATCTTATATTGGTTTTTTAATCAACTCAAAAAACATTTACCAATTGCATCCTCTCTGATTGATTAGTAATTTAAAAAATAAATCAAACATTTAAAAGTTTGAAATTGAATTTTGAAAAATGGAAACCCAACCCAACCCCACAAGCTTTAGACGCGGTCTTATTACACAAACTCAAAAAGCTTTCAATTCTCGCCCGTTGCCCTCTGAGCCAAAGCAGATCAGATCAGATCAGATCCCCTTCTTTATCTCCCACCTCCGTTTGCTGTGTCTATCTTCTCCGATCTAATCGCTATCTCCGATCTCCCTCGCCGCAAAAAATGGAGAACCTGATTAATCTCGTCAATAAACTACAGAGAGCATGCACTGCCCTCGGTGATTTCGGCGAAGGATCCTCTCTGCCTACCCTTTGGGACGCCCTGCCTACCATTGCTGTCGTTGGTGGTCAGGTAGATCCAGATCTTTCCTACTTTTTTCTTCCCAGTCTTGGGAAATGACCGCTAGTTTTGCTGCTTCTGCCGGTCGATTAAACTTCAGATCCGTTGAATAGGATATTCCTATTGACAAACCATTTTTTAGCATATAATTGTCTTGGCAGCCATCTTCGGTGGAATTAGTGGCCTGCTTAGGTTTTGGTTTACGGACTTTATTTGGTACTTCATCTTCAATTTTAGATCTAAAAGACGCGTCGAAACTTGGTGTATCTTGTATTGGTACTAATCGCTGGTGCAAAGCCATTTGATTCTAGTAAACTAGGCGGTGACAGAACTCCAAACCCTAGTTATCTGTTACAGGAAATCTGAACTAATTCATACCCTATCAAACAAGTAATTGTAGGTATTATAGATCCAAAAAATAGTTAGTAAATGATCTTAATTTTTGACTGCTTGCGTTATAACTTTTCTATTTCAGCATTCAGATCCATTCAAATTCCTTAACTATCGATCGGCTTGACCACGTATTTGTTGGTAGCTCATATCAATTTAGTTTATCTGACAGCATTGCTGCAAACCTTTGCTTCATGTTGCTAGCAAAGAGAGCTTCTCTTATACGGATCAATCTACATAGTTGTTCAACCATAGAAATCAATCTGTCGCTCAACTTTAGTTTTGCAAGGTTGTCGGAGTTATTCTACATTTCATGTGAAATATGTGAGGCTTCCCATGGTTGCTTTTTGCATAGCAGAAGTCTGTAACAATTTGCATTTGGTTCTGGTTTTGATTCGGTGCTACTAATTTTCCAAGTACCTGTGCTAAGTTGTTTGCAAATCTCTTATAAAGTGATCTGTTATGTTTTTTTTTCCTCGTGATCATTATTATGTATTATTACCCAATAAGATAAATTAGAAATTTCACCTGTGATGCTGCTCGAGGGATGCTTACTGTCCCTACTTGTGATAGCAGGATTTCACTCTATTTTTGTTGATAGAGGGATGTTTTGCTTTTCGTACCTTTTCCTTGCATTCTTCTACTTCTGTAACCTTTTTTCTTTAATTTAATACTAGTCTTATTTATTCTTTTCAAAATTATTTGTAATTTACCTATTTGGTCTCAAGTTCTTCTCTACTTTACAAATGCTTCAAACGTTTAGTGGACAAACTTTCAAAAGCATTCAGGTCTTCCCCAAAACTTTTTCGCAAACACTTTTGCAAGCTGGGTGTTCTCACGGAAACTGGCACTCTACTCTTTGGGGTAGAGCAAAGGTCTGCTTGCATCCAATACCTCACATCCTACTTCCTAGTGGGATATACTTGGTCATTTGTTTTGGTTATTTGTGATGATGCTCGAGGAAAATGTCTAGATGGTTGACAATGTTTAGTGGAATTATGAAGTCCTTGCAAATAGATGAACTTATCAGTTTATTTGTCTTTCCACTTTTCATAATGATTCTAGAGCTCTGGAAAGTCATCGGTGCTGGAGAGCGTTGTTGGGAAGGATTTTTTGCCTCGTGGATCTGGTAACTGAAGTACTCAATTGTTCTACACATTTTTTGCATGATTCTCATATTATCATTTTTTTGGCATCCCTGTTTAAATGCCATCAATCAGAGTTATAAGCACACCTGTGATATGCAGGGATTGTTACACGACGTCCTCTTGTCCTACAGCTTCACAGAATTGATGAGGGAAGAGAATATGCAGAGTTTGCTCACCAACCAAGAAAGAGGTTTACTGATTTTGGTATGCATAGAGAGAGATGTTTTGGTTCTCAGTCTTTGTGCAAGCTTATTTTTTTATACCTATAGCTTCATTTTTCTTAGCCTCCTTTATCTTCCTCTACTTCTATTTTAGCAAGAAAGTCATTAGTTAATCTTTTAGTTTAAACAATTTAGTCTGGGGGTGTTCTACTCTGATGCCAAACTCGTTTTTTGTGTGCAGCCGCTGTCAGGAAAGAGATTGCTGATGAGACTGATCGTGAGACAGGTCGATCCAAACAGATTTCATCAGTTCCTATATATCTCAGTATCTATTCTCCTAACGGTGAGATAGTTTTCCCCATTTGTTATGTTTCGTCATCTTGTCTATCTGCTTTTCACCCCCTTTTTTTTTTTGGTAAAACGAGCTTGATATTTGAATCTTTTAACTCATAGAAAGGAATGTTAATTTGTTTCTTGCTAAGGGTGTCTTGATGTTTGAGCTATATTAACTTTCTTTGACCATTGGTCATGTAGACATTCTTAACTTTTCTTTCTGATACGTGGACTAGTATTATGTATTAATTTTACTTTGAAGCTTTGATTGATGACTTGTTCATGTATCTGGCTTCTTGTACCTTGGGATTATTCTGTGGAAGATTATAACAGAATCATCACTGGAATATTGAACTTGATAACTCTTTTGATGACACTGAAAAAGGCTTGTGCATGGGCTTAGATTATCCGGGGTGATGGGAGCTTTAAAAAAGATGGAAGCAGGCAAGGTTTTAAGATGTTATACTAATCCCAAATGATGTTTTCAGATTGTGGGGAGGCAACCATAGTATGGCTTACTATGATGTTTTGTAGCATCTTTAGGACAGGAGACACTGATGGTGAAGACTAGTGGTCCCAATCTAAGTAAAAGGAGACGTCCAACATTCCAATGATTGTAGAGCTATCAGTGCTAGACTGCTAGTCATTTAGTTAATCGAGCATCGGGTTAAGATTGTTACTAGTGTAAGCTATAAAATAGTTTGGTTTTACAGCTGGGTTGTTGCATATGATATACATGGATCTAGAGGGCATATGACTGGGTGCCAAGAAAAGTTATGTGGTCGCCTTTGAGAAGATGGTCCTATAGAGTATGTTGGCATGCCAATCCTTTATCTTTGATTTTGATGTAGGACTGCTCCAAGGGAAAGAAGCTTTTCTCTCTTTTCACTGGTTATGCACAAATCTTGGAGTAAAGGCAGGGCCGGTCCTAAGAATTTTGATGCCCTGTGCGAAAATAATAAAAAGTGCCCGAAGCCTACTTTCTTTAAGCCAATAAAACAACGAAATATGCGATTTTAAAGAGTTTAGAACCTATTTAAGCTAAATGTTTCATCCCCATGTTGATTTTTATTAATTATAATAAGAAAAATACAATGTGGGGCACATAAAAACCAAAACCTTCAATACATAATATAGAATGCTTCCTTCTATATTAAGATCGTGCTTCCTTCTTTTCTAGTTTTCCCTTTTTGAATTGAGATTAGCAAAATAGAAACTTTATTTCAATATATGAGACTTAAAAGACAAGGAAAACTATTAGTTTTTAACTAAAATAGTAGATTACCTCCAAATTACTGTCATATTAAGCAAAAAGTAAAACTCAAAAGTTATAGGTATAAGGACTAAAGGTTAAGGGCCTATCTGTTAGCAGCTTAATAAGCTTAATGGAACTAACAACTTATTCGATCAACTATGCATGATTGTTTCGTAGTGGCTTAATGATATAGAAAGTGACTTATCTAGTAAGCTTCTAGGGGAAACTTTATATAGAAAGCCAAGTTTTTTTTTTCCAAACATGTCCTTTCTAACTAAAAAAACGCTCCTTATATCTACGAAAAAACTCTTCCAAACAAAAACGTTTCCAGCTTATACAAACAGATTAATTCATACAGACAACTTTATCCATATTGAACTTAATAAAAAACAATCAAACGGCCCCTAAATCTAATGCGGTAATGTCAAATCTCAAAGTAAACAAAAGTCAAAAGAACAATATTAAATTGTAAAATTCATAATCTATGTTATTGTGCATTGTAAAGAACAAGTGCCCAATAATTAAGACAATATCACAATATGTTGTTAATGTTGTGCAGTGTGCTTCAACTATGTTGATACAGTGATGTATTTATGTGCATTGAAAATTTCAATTTTCAGATTTTTCAATATGCAAGAGAAAGACTCATTATCAAAATGACAAAAGCCCCTTAGCTTAGCCTAGTAGGTCAGTAACCCACACGACCACATGACCCAACTTTATAATAATCAGTTAGAAATTTAGATTTTTTTTGCAAAATGATTTAAAGATTCATAAATCATAATATGACTCGCACAACAATTCGGTAAGTTCAATCAACAGTAGAAATCAGTCATTCGAGATTTCCATCTTTGATTTCTTGAATCTAATTTCATGACCGTCAATCGGATGGAAAGAAAACTCCATGCCTTGAAAATCGAAATAGTCCAACTTTGAAAAACAATAGAAATTAGATTTGAGTTGTTGGAATGATGGCGTTAACCGGTTTACGATTTGCATTCAGTATTCATCACTACTAGGCGTGGGCCTGTTTTTATAGTTAAAACTCAGTTGTCCAATTTCCAAACTATTAAACCCAAAACTTGTGATAGATGACAACTTGATGCCCCTTTAGACTTTGATGCCCTGTGCGGCCCCACCGGCTGCACGTGGCCAGGGCCAGCCCTGAGTAAAGGTATGGTTATTCCTTTATGACTAGGAGGTAACATGTTTGAGTCATGAAAACAACGTCTTTGCAAAATAAATGAAGATCACATACAAAGACTTCCCTCCTCAGTCCTCGCAAACCAAGGAGCACCCATGTAGTAAATCTTGATTATCCATGTTGCAAATATACCTGATATATACAGTGATGAGCTTGAACTAGGCTTGCAAAATATTTTTACTAGTACAAAAATACAGCAGCCAGTATTTAGTTGCCCTTTTATTGTATTTTCATTTATATGCTAGCTTTTGCAGCTTTTGGTTATTACAAACTCACTTAATGTATGATGTTGACAGTTGTGAACTTGACACTGATTGATCTTCCTGGTCTGACAAAAGTAGCTGTTGGTGAGTTTAGCATCAAAGACTTTTTTGCAATTTTAGATACCTTCTGGTTTTTATTAACTTCCCTCATTTACACCTATATGATCTTTGTAGAGGGTCAGTCAGATAACATTGTGCAAGACATTGAAAACATGGTGCGGTCGTACATTGAGAAGGTATGTTGTCAAGTGTTGCTATTTGTCTTTTGATTGATACCTTTTTCCACATTTCTTGCTCATTCTTGTTGGTGACATATTAAAGCAACAACTTTCTTGGTTCTGGAGGAAACCCATACCAAAAATTTCTTTGCATTGCAAACACCGCCTTTCACCAATTATTTACAAAGTTGGTCAGATTTTCGATTTCCATTTTCTTATAGGAAAATTCCTGAAATTACATCATTTGGCCACTCTGCAACATTAAAAAAGACGACTTCTATTTTTTCTCTGTGATGCTGTTCAAGTAGATTGTCTTATTTTACGGTGTATAGGTTACATGGAGTTGGTTTCCTGGGCTCATCATATATTGAAATTTGTCAATCTGCTTTGTCTTGCAGCCTAACTGCATTATTCTGGCAGTTTCTCCTGCCAACCAAGATCTTGCTACATCTGATGCTATCAAAATTGCTCGTGAGGTAGATCCGCAAGGTTTGTACCATATTGTTCTCATAACCTTCACGTGGTACTTTGTGTTTTCTGATTTATGTCCTTGTTCCTTGGATGACTTGAATACCTTGAGTTGTTCATTTGCAAAACAATAACAAAGAAACACTTAAAGAAAAATTGGGTGCTCAAGGAACACAATCTCCTTTTTGTGATGCGGTTAGTTTAGCGGAAGAGAGGTGGTTGAAACATAGGATGTGAGGGATAGAATATTTTGCAGATCCAGAGTTTATCGGCCTTTGCATTGGGAAATAATGAGATATGATAATTCTTGTGGCTTTATATCTGTTTTAGGAGTAGTGCATCAAATTTTTATATTTTCTTTCTCAGGCCACCTGCTTTGGATATATATCTCTATGTATATCTATATATTATTTCTTTACTAAGCCTCCATCCAAAGTGGGAGACTTTAGAACCACAGTAGAGCTCGTGAAAGTTAACCGGTGGAGACGAGGTGTAGAACTGCAGAAGGGATGGAGGGATGAGCGTGAAGGAGCAGAGAGAAAAAGCTACATATAATAAACCCTAAATCCCCTAATATCTATGCACTGCCTCAAGCCCTCAACCCAAGCCTCAGTGGCTTGACTAGGCGTATGTTCCAACTAACTTAGAAGGGGCGGGTCCTCAGGTTCGCTTTTCCACCGCCTTGCCTTGAGGTGTACGTTTTGCGTGATTTTTAAAACCATGTATATATGCAACAGAGCATGCTGACAACTGCATGCAATGATTTGTTATGGCAAGTAATGTGGAATCTAGGAGTACTTTTCATGGTTTGAATCGTGATATAATTTGCAACTTCCTCTACATTTTTTCAAAGCGAAGAGATAAGTTGGGCCAATTAGAATAATCCTGCTCCAGAGGCCTTCAACATGAATGGTAAATAGTTGCTATAAAACTGAAGTTTGTTATAAATAGGTATGTTGAGATCTCTTGCACAGTGACTAGTTTGGGCTTTTTGCATTACTTATGCATCTGACCTATAAGGATTTTGCTTTGCATAGTTGCATCTCATTGTCTACATGTGGAAGTAGAGATAGGTTGTGATATGATGTCTTTCACTTTTCTACAAATTATGCTGATTCTGGAAGCAACACTGAAGTTGTTAACTTGCTACCTAAATATAACAAGCACATAGCGTCTGAACTGTCATACAGTTGTTTGTTGTGTTTACACTTACCTGAACAGTTCTGTTTGCTAAATATTCCAGCTAAATTTGATTATCAGCTTTGGTGGTGCGCACCAGTGTACCATTGTTGTTTATTTCTATAGATATTAAATGATTAGATGTGAATGTACAGGGGAGAGGACTTTTGGAGTTCTGACGAAGATTGATCTTATGGACAAGGGTACTGATGCAGTTGATGTAAGTTGGGTTCAAATTCAAATTGTTTGCAAGTGTGAATGCTTCTTTTATATGGACCCTTTCATCCATGGTACCAGTAAGTCTGCCCCACTGTTAAATGCAATGACGCAGCAGAAAAGTTGCATTCCGTACATTCTGCTTTTGATCTATGTGTACTGGTTTTCAGTTCTGAACATCCAAGTTGAACTGCCAAACTAAAAACTACTCCCTCTCATAATCTTAAATGGCCAAATTTGACTCTTGAATGGTGAGCATACTACTACTCAAGTCGATATTTTTCCCAGATAAAAGTCATGAATTGATTCATTTTCTACAGAATTGGCAACTGGATTATGCCATACGGTAAAGCATCCTAAATAGGAAAAAATGGTTCATAAAATGCCTAAGAATCCAAAACTGTTGTTAATTTGGGAAGAACTAGATTTGGGATGGATCAAGTACTGAATTAAGGTGCTGTGCATGCATCCTTATCCTCTGATGCTTTTAGAGGTGTTAAATTTTATGTTGAATCCTATATCATTACATTGGTAAGTTGAGTGATTGTTCGTTGTGTGTACTTTTATATAATCACTTTGTGGTATTGATTGAATGGAAATAATAAGGTGTCCTCTTTTGAAGCTTTTAACAAGAAATGCAAGATAGTTGGTATAGAAGGAGTTTGTCTTCCAAAGAAGTCATTTTGGCGTCATTTCTTTTATTCAATCTCACTTCTATTTGCTTCATATACCTATCATATTTCTGCACTTCTTACAACCTTCGGAAAAGATGCACTTCTATTTGCTCTATATATCTATTTAAAACCCTGTAAGAAATTACTTCATATATTAGAAGACGAAGGATCGTATGAGAAGAAGAGTTAAGGTGAGAAGTGTAAGAAGGGATCTCCACCCTTGATCACTTTTAATCTCATGCCCACCCGTGAATTGCGCTTTAGAAGGGAGTTGATCCGGTGTATCTCTGTGCATCTCACGATTGTTGATCTTCGATTAGGATTGAACCAGGAGTGGAGCTCCCTTCTTACCCTTCTCACCATAACTTCCCTTCTCACCAGAACCCAACCCTATATTAAAATGCTTACTAGAATTATAATATGAGATGAAGCTGGATATATGAGTGGGACCTCAACTCTGTTGCGCATCTTATATTCTTATATGCTTTCTGACTTATGGTTGACGCTTTGAATCTAATGTAATGCAAGGCCTTGTTCTATGTGAGTATGTGCATTTGTTTCTTTTAGCATATCTGTCATGCGTGTTGATACATATTGGTTTTCTCATAGCTTGGCAAACTGCTTTGCGTTCTATTGCATTTGTAACAATTAAGAGACTCTCCTTTCCATTTGAAGTGAAAACAATTATATAGCAGCCTTGTTTCTTTTCTAGGTTGCTTTATCTGTAATAAATCTGATGGATTTTGTACTGTGGCTCACCCTCTGTGTTTTGCAGATGTTGGAAGGAAAATCCTATAAGCTGAAGTTTCCTTGGATTGGTGTTGTCAACCGCTCTCAAGCTGATATTAACAAAAGTGTTGACATGATTGCTGCTCGGAGGAGGGAGCGGGAGTACTTTGCTAATACTCCAGAGTATAAGCATCTTGCAAGTAAAATGGGCTCTGAGCATCTAGGGAAAGTGCTTTCTAAGGTAGGCCTAATCTTCTTTAGGATTAAAAGGGTTTACTTGTAGTTTCATGCCTAAGTTGATCATCTTGCGCCAAGTCCCCTTATGTGTGTGTGTGAATATATATATATATATTGTTCTTGCAACTTTTTGCTAGGTGCCTTTGTCGGCTGCAGGTATTCAGTTTAACGATATCTAACATGCTTAATTACATGATTAATCGTTTCAGCATTTGGAAACGGTAATCAAGTCACGGATTCCAGGCCTTCAATCTCTCATCAACAAAACAATCATTGAACTTGAAACAGAATTGAGTCGTCTTGGGAAGCCCATTGCTACTGATGCTGGAGTAAGAATGTCCCTTGTTTATATAATTTTCATTTGTGAATTTCAAGCATCGTTCGGATGATACTTAATTGTCACTTTAAGTCTAGATGTTCAGTTCTTTTAATGTGACATGTGCTCTTTGCAATTGATGTAGACCTCACAACACTTAAGAATTGCTTCTTTCTATCCACAGTGTTCTTCTGTGCTTTGTGTTAACCTCATTGCATCCTTCTCTTTTCTGCATCGCAGGGAAAATTGTATATGATTATGGAAATATGTCGTGCTTTCGATCAAACATTCAAAGAACATCTTGATGGCATGTATGTATTAAAAGGAGCTTGGAACTATTTTCCAAGTACTTTAAGCATTAGATGTTTGAATATTCTAATATCGGCGACTCTTGACCTTTATGATTTACAGACGACCAGGTGGTGACAAGGTGTACAGCATATTTGATAATCAACTTCCTGCTGCCTTGAAACGGTTACAGTTTGACAAACAACTTTCTATGGAAAATGTGAGAAAACTAATTACAGAGGCTGATGGATATCAGCCTCACTTGATAGCTCCAGAACAAGGATATCGTCGTCTTATTGAATCTACCTTAATTACCATCAAAGGTCCTGCTGAGGCAGCTGTTGATGCGGTGAGCATCCAAGTTTATTTGATTTCTGCAAATTATTATTTGATACTTATGAAAGTCTTTGTTATACTTTTTTTAATGATTCAAATAAAAAGGTTGACACCGAATGTTCTTATGATAATCAGAAACTCTCATATCATCATTACGAAATTGAAGGTTTGGTCTAGATTGTATAAGATCTCATGATTCATCTTGCTCAGATTATAACTTTAACTTATAGTCATTTATCATTTACTACATCAACATGTTTTTGTGGTCTATAATTTTTTTTTTCCTTTCATAGTATTTATCTTGTTTTTCAGACGAAGTCCATCGTTTGTCTGAGCACGTTTGATTTAATTGTCTTTTTTGTTGGCTTCAGGTTCATGGTATTCTGAAGGATCTGGTACACAAGTCGATGAATGAGACTGCGGTTAGTCTCAAGATCCCTTATCTTTATGTGAATAATTGATTCTCCTGTGTGAAGTTCACATCTGCATTGAAAAGGGAATATGAATATCTTTTCATGCAAAATCAATTTTTAATCTGGTTGATTTGTTACCTGCAAATATTTTTGTTCTTCTAGTTCCATTGAACTGTATTGCCAGTGTTGCAGTCTTCTGCATCTCTCTTGTTGCTTTTTATTTCTTTCTTTTGTTATTTATAATTTATTTCTTGAGTGAATTATCAACATGGTATCTATGAGACTATTCACCAACTATAGTTTTTGTACAAATGGAAGTTATTTTAACCAAGCAATGTCCATTAAGGGTGTTATGTGGGATGCCCATCATTTCCAAGGGATGTGATGAAAAAGATCCTCATCCGCTCATCACTTCTCTGCAATGTCTAACCTGCAAAACTCTTCTCCATGGTGGTTGGCAAATCCATCTGACCTTATATGGGTCAGAATAGAAGGTGCTTCCGTGCATCCACTGTTATAATATGAGAATTCAACTCGTATTGCATTGGATTTGTCACATCCTAAGATATTCCTAGATTGTCCAAACTAATTGCTCTATAGCATGTATCTGTGTGATTTGTCATATGGCTAATGAAGTTCTTTCCATGAGAGTTTTTGTTAGATTTCTCTGGACTAAAAAATAGTTGAGAAATTTAGATAGCATGATACTTCTGAACAAAATTGCTCTAGAAGGAAAGTACTTTTGTGATTTACTTTGTTTGAATCATCGTGGAGATGCATCCTTTTCCAATTTGGTCAATCTGGTTGGTCAAGTACCTGCCATAGGACTTCTATTAGGTTTTTTTAGATTAGTTACGTATCTTGCTAAGTTGACCTTGTGAAAGCCACCCGGATCTTGTTTTCTAGTATCTTTCTTCTCCATTGAAACCCAAAAGCATAAAGCCCAGATCAGAAGTCCAATGAAAATTATTAGCCATTTGAAGCAAAATAGCATAATTGAATTTAAGAAAAACGATGGTGGTTATGGTGGACTGTAATCAACTTACCTGGAACATTGCAATATAGTTACATGTATGATCTCTGTGTTGTGGATCATTGTTTAATGGTAAAAATGGGATTTTTCTCTGTCTTTTCCTTCTCTTAAATCCGAATCAAAATCTACAATCAGTTGAATAGTCAAGGCATTTTTGTAATTGACTTTATTTCTCGAGGAAAATCCACTTATATACCTTTGGAAAGACACCATTCTTTTAATTTTTATGGAAATGTTATATGTGTAGCAGGTTTCAAAACAAAGGTTAAGTTTTGTCTCACTGATTGTATCATATCCTTCAGGAATTGAAGCAATATCCATCGTTGAGAGCAGAAGTTTTGAATGCAGCTTGCGAGTCTTTAGATAAGATGAGAAACGAAAGCAAGAGAGCTACTATACAGCTAGTGGATATGGAATGCAGTTACTTGACAGTTGATTTCTTCCGGAAGCTTCCACAAGATATTGAGAAGGGAGGGAATCCAACACACTCAATTTTCGATCGATATAATGATTCTTACCTTCGTCGAATTGGTAAGTAACAATGAAGCAACCAGATGATGGTGAAACTATCATAAAATATGGATATGTGAAATTTATTTAACATGGTCTCGTTGTTCACCAATCAAATCAGGATCAAATGTGTTGTCTTATGTCCATATGGTGGTCGGGACTCTAAGACACTCCATCCCAAAGTCTGTTGTGTTTTGTCAAGTGCGCGAGGCTAAACGTAGCTTGCTCGACAATTTCTTCACAGAGTTGGGTGCAAAGGAGGTAAGGGCCTGTTTACTCACATCTTATGCGGTCAGCTATATATGATTGTTTGGTAGTGGCTTAACGATATAGAAGATGACTTATTCAGTGAGCTTCTAGGGAGAAACTTTATGCAGAAAGCCACCAAGTATTTTCCAAACCTGTCCCTCCCAATTAAAAAACATGCTTCTTCCATCTATGAAAAAACCCTCTATACAGACTGATTAATCTACACAGACAACTTTATCAAGATAGGACTTAATGAAAAATCAACCAAACAGCCCTGAACTGTTAAATAAATAAATGAAATTTGAAGTGTTTATTCATTTATGAAAAATATGGTTTGACAGGGAAAACAATTGGCTAAATTGTTGGACGAGGATCCAGCGATAATGCAGAGGCGTATGGACTTGGCAAAGAGGCTGGAATTGTATAGATCTGCCCAAGCTGAAGTTGATGCAGTTGCCTGGGCTAAGTAGACCGACTCGCTCGCTTTTCTTCTCGATAGTTATAGTTTTCCCAGGAAGAAATGAAGAAAAACCAAAGTCACAACGATTGTTGTCTGGCATGGCTGCTTTAGGAGCTCTTCGGTCCGAATGAAGTTGAATGCTGCAATTTTTATGGAGTTGTACAATTTGTTGTATCCTTTTGGTTTGGTGGAAACAAACTTTTGCAGTTGGTCATTACATGTGTTAATAGTTTATTTGTGTTTTTCAGGTTCTGTTGTAGATGTTTGTTACGGAGTACGATGAACAATTTGTTTCACATGTTTTCATCTTTGTTTTATTGATTTTTGCATTATATGGTAAATCATATTTTTAGAGTAACAATGATATGTGGATCTTTGTCAATTTTATCTGTTTCTATTTTGAGGTTACATGACCTTTATGATAGATTTTGGGGGGGGTAATGTGACAGTTTCAAAAACTGGCTTTTATTTTTGGATTGTTAGTGCATATATATATATATATATATATATATATATATATATATATATATATATATATAATTAAGGGGCTGTTATCCTAGCACCTATTCGCTATGTCCTTATTGGTAAAGATTCAACACTAATCTCATCGGGTAAGATTTTAGCCTATCAAAACATGATCATATGCAACAATTTATCCGCTAACCGAGTAAGAGTCGTCTCCTTTATTTACCAGGTAAAACTTTCAGGCCTTGACATTGTTCTTCTAGGTAACATTTTTTGGTCCTCATCATGTTCATCCGGTAAGGTAATGTGTCTTGGTAAGATAAACACGACCCCTAATTTCTTTAAATGGAGAAAATAAAGTCAAAATTGAAGATTTATTAAATATTCAATAATATAACAAAATCCCTCTCTTCTTTTTCCTACATTTAGTTTTATTGGTTGATTGGAAATAAATTTGAAATAATCTTTTTATTTTAGAAAAAAAAATGGTAATAATTTTCAAGTGAAAGTGTTTGAATAAAGAAATTAGTTTGAGTATGTAAATGATGATAAAAATGGTGATTTGAGTTAATTTAAATTTCAAATGTGGGTATACCAAAATCAAAGTGTTTTATTTTTATTTTTATATAACATAAAAAACTACAAACATTGAAATCCAATTGATACAAATCCAAGACAATAAAAATGAAATTCACATAAAATGGTGAATGGATTATCGATTTTATAGGAAAAAGTATCGAATTTTGAGTCAATAAAGAAATACTTCCTTCCCTTTCTTATTTCTATCTTCCATCTTTCATTTTTATCTAAAAAATGAAACAAACAAACACCTTCATCCTCTCATCTCTCCTTGTTATCTTCTTAGCATCATACAAGACCAACGCGAGCGTACAAGAAGATAACGAATTTCTTGACGCCCACAATAAGGCCCGTCGTCGTGCAGGCATGCCACCATTTACCTATGATCAAACCCTCGCTAAATATGCTCGCAAGTATGCGTTGTCCCATGCCAATGATTGTGCTCTACGACACTCAAACGGGCCCTATGGCGAAAACCTCTTTTGGGGTAGCGCTGACGGTAGCCGTTTGAAATGGACCCCCAAGGACGCAGTCTATGCTTGGATAAGAGAACATAAGTATTATGACAAGAAGACAAAATCGTGTATTCCTGGGAAAAAATGTGGTCATTACACACAAATTATGTGGCGAGACACCAAAAAGGTCGGGTGTGCATTATCGTATTGCAATAACAAAAGCACATATGTTGCGTGCGAGTATGACCCCCCTGGGAATTTCGAGGGACTTTCCCCATTCGAAAGACATGATCCATTCATCTATGGTAAAACTTGAATTAAAATTAAGCGTTGAGGTTCGTTGGAAGATCTCAAAGAGAAAGAGTAGAATGATTAATTTAGGTTAGCATTTTCATTCAATGTATAATTTTGTAAATATTGTGTCTATTTGTTGTAGATAATTACGTTGGTGTGTACAATCTTTGTATCTTTAGACTTTTAATCAGGAAATTAACATGCTTCATTTTTTTTAGCTTTCATCTATATCTTTTATTTAAATAATAATATATATATATATATATCACATTGATATAAAAGTTCGAAACCAGAGACGTGCATATGAGTTCTGCTTACGTACAAAAACGTACACCAATGCATTTGTATCTTGCAATAAGGGAATAATGATATTACGGCCAAAATGCATCAAAATATAACGGAGCACGCTAGATGTCTCGTTCTTGTATCGTGTAAGTATTGATGATGTGGTGACCGAGTTATCAAACTATATTGTAAATCTTGATTATGTGAAAATTTTCATTTCGAAATCATCTGATGTCTCATATGTTAGGAAACGTATAATCGAATAAATGGATATAAAATAGAAAGAAACACATTTAATTAATAAAACATTTGATGACTAAATCAAATAAAATAGAAATAAATATAATTTTAAAGCTAAGAATTATAATTGTATTGTAAGTAAAAAAAAGTAATAAAAGCCAAAAACAAATACATTAATTTAATGTTAGAAGCCGTGAGATTGTATTTATTAATGTGGTTTTGATAATTATAAATGAATAAAAACATAAAAATCCAAATCAAAGCTTTCCAACACCATACAAAAATAACTTTTGAAATACTCTTCCTCTTCGTATAAACGCTTTTGAACCATCCATCTCAACTGTTGTGTGTGATTTCGTTAAAATAAATTGTAACATAACCTAATCTACGAGGGTTATGTTGTTGTGACATCACTCTAACAACATATTTAAGCAACCACTAATCATTGTAAAGGTTTGGTCTAACTTTTTATATTACAGACTAACCCTTCCAAAAATGGAACATTCATATGCAAATTGGAAAAAGTAAATCCACAAGTTAATTATAGAAATAATAAATAGATAGACACCAAAACTCACATGAGATTGGACAGAACAAAACTTATTGTTCTACATTTGACGTAATATTGGACATGAACTATGTTTGACAAAAAAAAAGATTTCTTTTTGTTATGTCATAATAAGTGAAACAAGATGAGATCAAAATAAAAAATTATCATTCTGTCATTGTTTGGTATAACTACAATATAATATAATATAATATTTATTTGTTATGATCCAAACACATTTCTCATTTTACAATTGTATTAGGTATCCGGTGACTTATTTCGGGTTGCGTTCACCATGTGGATTGGGTTGGTCAAGTTTTTATGGGGAGTGCTAATGGCACCCCATTAATAGGGGTGCCAAATACCTTCAAACTTGAACCTTGATTAAAAAGATAAAAAATCAAAATCAATAAAATAAAATAAAATATTTTATTATTATTACTTTATATATTAATATATATATATGTATATATATATATATCCTATAATTATATATATATATCCTTTTTAAACCATCAATACTT